TGAAAGAGTTACTGTGATAAAAGGATTTTAACTGATTTCGTAATGAAACGTTATATTGAAAAACATGACATGATACAGAAGAAAATTAATTTTACCTAACCCGCCATGTTAAACTTCCCTATCCCAAGCGTGATGTATACAACTTCCTTACTTCTCGAGTGATGTAAAGTATCAAACAGAAAATAACATTGCAAATACTTCTTTTGGACAGTTCAGTAACTCCTAATAAATGTGTGTTGTTTAAAATTAAGTTTAAAAATTAACAGCTGTTTCATTAAAAAGTATTATCCACATGACCAAAATGTAAACAAATCTGTGGAGGGATCTTTAAAGGCTTCTGGGGCAGAGCCCTAAGGGAATTTACTTAGTTTTTCTTTTGATAACTCATCTACAGACCAAAACCTTTATTTGGACACCTCTACCAAGTTTCTACGCCCAGCCGTTCTCTCGAATTAGTGGACACAAAGTTTCCAATTAAATATTTAGATTCCTCCATGTTAATCTTATGGGAGAAAACCTAACTTTGATGAATAATCCTGCCCAAACTAATAAAGATTTCAAAAATTTAAAAACACTTTGCAAAACTACAGATCAGGCAATTTTTTTTACACTTTATTCATTAAAATCGAAATTCAATCTATGCCTGGCTTGTTCTCAGCCAGGTCTTTGCCCATGAGAACGTGACTTGAACTTGAGATCTTGCGATCATCTTTACTTTTCATTTCTATGAGGGGTCAGCGAACGTTTTGTATTGTTCATGAGTTTGTAAAGAAAATGATTTAATAATTTAAATTTTTAATTTTCATATGTTTATAAGGGCATTTAACAACTGCGCAATTAATAAGTACTGTAAACCATATTACTGTAAAAGACCGGTCTTTATAAATTATATAGTTCTAAAAGAAATTTCTATTTGACCTCTTTGTCACAAAAACATACTTCTTTGTATAATGATTGTTATGTAAATGCAGTTGTCATCGTAATTTACAATTATTGATCTGTCTAAGTGTTATTTTTTCAATAAATGTAAATATCTTGTTTGGTAAACAAAGGATGTAATTGAATCTGTAAGTTAAGACAAGTATGCGAAAACTACAGTTTTCCATTAGCTCAAGCCTAAATTATATTGTATGTAATCTAGCTTGTTATATTTCGTTATTTTGTCACGTAAAAACATTTAAATTATGTATGATGTATAAATATAAAAAATTTAACAACAAATCCATTTGAAAGTAAAGTTTAGACATTGGTACGGTCGACATTGGTACATTATCATTGGCGAAAATGCTCATGCACATTAACATTATTGCGGCTATGTGTTTAAGTTGTAACATGGTTTAGTTTCATATAGAAATTTGAGAAAATAATTTTTATTTTATTTTTTGTTGTAATGATTTGAAATTAAAGTTTTACATTTACAATAGTCAAGAGTAGCCTGCAGTAGCAAGACTTCTTGATAAGAAAGCTCTGGAAGCTTCCTTATCACCTGGTCCAGTGCATGTGCTGGCCAGAGTAGGGGTAGAAGGTTCCAGAACTGAGATATCTTATATAAGGGAGCTGCTTCCATGTGGGGTTGTTAGTTCAAGAGTGTAGATGTACAGTGTCCAGACCTGGGGTGAATTTTCTGCAGCCTACTCAGTGAGTAGTAAGTTTATTTTATTTTTTTATGTTATTTTAATTCATTCACTTTTATCCCTCCCTCTCTGCTAATTATTGTAATAACAAGAAAGACCATAGATGTTTTCTTATTAGATATTTAACTTTTCTTTCAATTAGTAAAATATGTAAATATAAAATGCACCTTTTTTATTCTTTTAGAATTTATTTAATAGAGTTAAATTTGGATCTAAAAATAATAAATGCTAATTAAAGTAAAGTTTTTAAAGTTTCTAGAAAAGTTTAGCAATTGTAAATTTTATTTCATTCAGGAAGAAATTAATGTAACCTAATTTAATTTCGAAGGATTTTAATTCAATTGTTTAGCTTTTCAATTTAAAGAAGTTTGAAACATTAAAGAAATATGTATTTGTATTGTAGACAGATAAGCTAGGAACGGGGTTTGTTTGTTCACAGGGCTCAAGTGTGTACCAGTGATTAATGGTTTTAAAATGTCCCATAAAAAATATTAGCCGAATGTTTTAAATTTGTTGATTTTTTATATTTAAAGAAAACTAATGGAAGTAAATAAATTTCAGTTTGATTTTGGGTTTGGTTTTGAAAGTGTTTAGAAGAAACTGTTTTATTTTAAATAAACCATGACTTTTGTAACAATGATGAATTTTTATTTTGGGTCTCCTCTTAAGGCCAATTCCACTAAATAGAAGATAATTGATCTTGGAAATAACGTTACAAAGTTGATACACGTTTGTAGAAAACACTAAAAAGGCAATCTTCTAAACAATTTTAAAATATTTACAACTTTAATTATATAGAAATGTTCATAACACAGTAAGTAATTCCATTAGTTGCATAAGCTTTTACGTGAGTCTTTTTAATTAATTGAAAATTAAGTCTGTAATAACTCCTAAAATAGCTCCTGTAATACCGGTACTTATATTGCTTGATTTCTAGCAACGAGTACACAAGTTAAAAATTCAACAATGCATTAACATAACAAGCTCTCTTTCACGCTGCAAGACTAGTAAACGGCAGAAGTAAGGCAGAACGGCAGAACTGCGGTATTGGTTTACCATACACGCCTGCAACGATGCGCTGCAAACCGCGCGACGAGTAGCTAAATGAACCGTAGAGTAAGTGAGCCTTCTAATATTTGTAGAGGGTTCACTTACTCTACAGATCATTGTGCCAATGAACTGTAGAGTAAGTGAGCCGTCTTCTATTTGTGTAATAGTTATCATGAAATAGGCTCGTATAGTATACGAGCCTACTCCTGTAATTTATTTAAATTCAGTATTTTGGCTCGTATACTATACGAGCTTATTCCTGAATTATTCAAGAATTCATACGCTTGGCTCATAGGCACTATGATCTGTAGAGTAAGTGAACCCTCTTCATTTATTTGATATTTTTGATCGGCTCGTATAGTATACGAGCCTGTAGTGCAAGTGAACCTTCAATATTATTTACGAAGCTCGTATAGACTATGATTTGTAGAGTAAGTGAGCCATGTGTTTTAAGAATTACATATTTGGAGGCTCATTGTGTCAATGATTCGTAGAGTAAGTGAACCCTAACCCTGGCAGCAACTGCTTGAGAACTGAGAAGGTGAACGAGGGAATAAAAATATGGTTGGGTAAAATACAAATTAACCACATTTTTATTAATGGTTTCATTCTACCTTCTTAGCTTTACATATAAAATATATAAAAGCTAAAAAAAGGTAGAACGAAGGAATTCTTACCAGAGCTTCTGGAATGATGGGTTTTGCGTAGGTTTATGATAAGAGATATCTCTTACGTTGTGCAGGTGAATGAATGAATAAATAATGAAATGGTATGCTTTATTTCCATATATATGCATGATACATGTATGTAAATGTCAATAAACCATAAGACTAAAAAAACAAGACAAAATGCTTTGGTTTTCAAGATCACGCCGGACGGACAGCGTGTGAGTGGATAAGCGTGATTACATATAATCAAGTTTAAGTTGAAGCCATGCTTCTATATGGTCGTGGTTTCCAAGGACGAGCGATCACGTCTGACACGAGTTTTCCACCTTCTGTCCAGTGCGAGTCCTAATCAGCGTGGCACATTAACACCCCCAGCAGTGCCACCGGACATTAACTAGACCACGGCTCCCTTTAACTCGTGTCTAGACACGAAAAACGTGCTTAAAAATTTACAATGGGATGAAAAGTCTATTTATGGTTGGTTAGTTGGTTAGTCTATGATAAAACATACCCCCTTAATCTATGGCATTACTTAGTGAGTTCACAGACTAACCAACAAGGGAGTCTGTTTAATCTATGACAGTAAATAGATAGGAGTGTCTGTTGTATATAAGTAAACGATTACGTATAATCACGCTGGCCGTCCGGCGTGATCTTGGAGACCGTCATGGTGGAAGGAAAAAACATAGGTGTGCTATTCCCACATATTCTGACGTCACTCGGATTGCAAACAAAAGATCACCTGATTGTAACTGTCAAATTAGTATGTACTGTATTTGTTTTGATTTGATTGTTATTGTTTTTATAATAATAAAAACAATAACAACTAAATCAAAACAAATACATATACTAATTTGACAGTTACAATCAGGTGATCTTTTGTTTGCAATCCGAGTGACGTCAGAATATGTGGGAATAGCACACCTATGTTTTTTCCTTCCACCATGGGAGACCGTAGCTTACGAATGTATACATATAAATACATCACTTTTTAACTTTATAAAAAATGAGGTATAATACTTTTTTTTTACTTTCAACAATGTTTGAGTATTTTTTTCTTTTCAATATTATTTTTCCCGGTCCAGGAACTAAACAACAAAAGTATTCAGACAAGTTTTTGTTATATTATCGAATGTCCCAAATAAATGCTTTTTCGGCGTTCTTGCCATAGTTGGTAGCGTTTCGGATGAGGTCTCGGGTTCGAGACCAACCCGGGACATTAGCTTTTTATCAACGATTTTTGCTTAGAATGTGAATACTTCTTTACTGTACATCTTTTGTTAAAATATGATGCATTTATAATTTTACTTATGAACAGAACTTTTTTTTTAATATTGAACCTTTATTCAATTTTTATCTTCTTATATCTTTGTTATAGTTTCAGCAAGTTTGGTTGGTTAGGTTATGTTATGACAGTTTAATTTTAAAAATTTAAAATTTATTTTATAATAAAAAAATGGTATAATCAAAAAGTTAATTTTATAAAAAAAATTTAATTTAAAATTGTTTCAACTTAGCGGTTCCAGCGGAGAACGCTGCTGACACTACAAGATATGTTAGCCTTAATCCCTCCCGTGTGCCCCACCGAACTGGAGACTGGAGACTGGACTGGAGTCAGCAGGAGTGGAGTGGACAGTGGTAGTGGTTCGGTTGTGTTGAGGTCATGTTTATGTTTTTAGTGTAGGTTGTTGTGTGGGATTTTTACTCAACTGAATAATGTTTTCCTCATTACTACAAATGTTGGGAAATTGAGGCATGTAAGTTAAGCATAACAATGATTCAATACCCTTTTTCTGAAAAACTCTCAAAGTTAAATTGACTAGACCTAGATTGGACCTAACTTCTTGATTCTTGATTCTTGATTCTTGATTCTTGATTCTTGATCCTAGGCCTACACAGTACACATGCCTTATTGGGAAACAAGTAGAGCAAAGGTTAGCCTTGTTCAAGTACTCTAGCAGGATGCATGAAATTATTTTTCTACAGTAGGTCTCATGGTAAAACCTGGAACCGATTTACTTTTTTGTTTTGAGATCCTTAGAGGCCAAAAACACCATCCGTTCAAATTCTTATATATAATGTCAACTGAGAGCTATCTTTCAGTATCAGGACTACAGTTTTCCATCTCGCTAACATGGGGTAAACCAGTCGACAACAGAAGGGTAAAATTGAAAGTTTTTCAGACTTTCAAAACACTCATATTTTGCTTAGGCTAAAGGGCTGCACTTTACTTTACGTCCTACACTCATTCGAATGAAAATATCGATCGATACATCTATTATTTGATAAGTTACCTAGGCTATATTGTTTGATCAGTCAGGTAAGGTTAACCTAACTAACCAAACGATATAGGCTATCAAATGAAACAATCGAATAATCAATTTTTTTTTCATTCAAATGAGTGTAGGATGTAAAGTGCAGCTGGCTAAAGCATTCCAGATTTAACCTGCTCAGGGAAATTTAAGTAAAAAAGTCTGGTGTAAATAGAAAAAAAAACATTTCAAATGCATCTCTTCCATAGTGATAAGACCATTCAATTCATTCCAATCTGTGTTTAGAAGGTCCTGTTTGAAATTATCAAGGCCCTTACATCATTTAGATTTCTGAAACTTCTCTTATAGCCTAACTATTTTGCCATAGAGGTACAGTATTTAAAGTGAGTTCAGGACTAACCGAACCTTGGGTCGTCTTCACTATTACCGTCTTGTGATCAGCAACTACAGTAGAGGGAAGCTCCATGGTGCACAGGCTTGGGTCACAATCAGAAGCAACACTGTCCAGGCAGTACTTGACCCTGGTGGGCAGTCGATTAAACAAGTACATCCCTTGGCTGCGTAGTACATCCGTGAACCTGTTATTCTCACTACGTCCAGATTTAGTTTGATGTTAAAATCACCACCAAGATAGGCCTATTCAGAAATGCAAGGCATTTATCTGAGAGAGTCATAAATAGGGAGAAATCACCACAAGGTGAACGGTAAACAGATCCACCAGTATCAAATAGTCCAACAGAATTACCCCAGAGAGTCCAATCACTTTTTCTATACGAAAGTCCTTAAGATTGACTACTTTATACTTTTAAGTCAACATGAAGGTACACTGCCGATCCCCCACAAGTATAAACTGATATATGAGAAGCATCAGCCAAACCTTGGTCTTCAATAGTTAAAAACTGTGAGATTCATCTTCATTCATCCAATGTTCAGACAAACACAGTACATCAGGCCTAACCTCACTACACGGGACATATAAGAGGTTTATTTTAGTCCTTACACATTGGACATTTACGTAACACAAACGTAGGCCTAGGTCCACAGGTACAGTTGTTAGGAGGGAAGACAACTGAGGAGTAGGAGTTAAGTAGTTCCTGGGGATATTCAGCATAGGCCTACAAATATCCACTAGATTTTCGATAAAATTTCTTTCGAAAGGAATAGTTTCCAACCATAATGCCCTCTAAGGCCAAATGTCAGGGTATAGAATTGCCTCTTTATTATCCAAAGGAACAGCAGCTTTAAATGATATAGTCAGGAAACTTCACTGGGACTTTCTCGCATAGTATGTTTTCACCATCACAATAGGCCTGGATATGATTCTTAACAGTATTTACAGCAGCATTGACATACACTCTTGTTATAAATAACCAGGCTTTGTTTGAAACTGGATCAGACGTCAGTTTAGCAGATTTGTCGGTTCTTTTCACCGCTCAACATAGATTCAGAACTGCAAGATTTATTTTTCCTCTTCTTGCCGTCATATGTTACCCACTCATTATCGAAGATTTAATTAGGCTACCTTTGTTTCTTGGGTGCAATACGCGATCTGAATATTTATCACTCAAAACCGGGTTCAAATTTTCTCGATTTTTTGCAGCTGCGGGGAAAAAAATGTTGGGAAGTTGCCAAGGTCTCATCTGTTACAGTGTCGAGTATAACAGAGTCATCACTATCTCAAGGAAAGCTAGGTTGAGGAAAGGCTCTTTTGTAGATTTATTTTATTAATTACACGGTAAACACAATTTTACAATAAGTCCATTAATGGGGGAAGCGGAATTCTACCCCCAGAAATTTACCACCATGAATCAAATCAAATCAAACCTGTCGGCTTAGTTTCTTTCATGTTTACTTGTCACAAACATCCATCCATCCATATCCAAACTTTCTCACTTATATCAGTAGGATTGTTATAAAGACACCTACTGTACCTACAAGAATGGCCTGATATTGTTATCTCAAGTTAATTCTTACCAAAGTAGGCCATTGACAAAACTTCTCACAAGATAAAACAGAATGTAAACAACTAATATTTAGTTTGAAGATATAAATAGGTTTGTCATAAACCGGATGTACCTATTTTATAACCGTGTCTATTTTACAGGATTGTTGTGATATCAGCATTGATGACTTCATACGTGTGACAGATAAAAAAATTAATTAAGTATAATGTGAGTTTCAAACTTAATTTTGTAATAAAATATACATTCTTTACCTAAAAATGAGCAAAACCCAAAAGAAATCTGATGCAAAATCTTCTAGAAGATCTCCAAGGCTCAATCAGGTGAGGTTTTTAATATTTTTATTAAAATAACACAAGTAACCTGAATAATTTATCTGATACATGGATGGATTTAAATAATGTCTAAAAACTAGTTTATATATTTATACTTAAATACTGTGTACTAGCAATTCCTTTTAAACATGAGAACTTATAAGGTTAATATGGGAATCTCCAGAGCCACTGGGGCGGAGTCCGAAAGGATCATTGAGAAAATAGTATGTCAATATGTTAAGTTAATCGGGAACTTAGGCTAAGCTATCATAATACCAAATTTCAGCTCAATCCGACCAGTAGTTAATGTGTGATTGAACTTCAAACAAAAAAAACAAACAGGGAGTTCATCTTCCTACTACTGGATATTGAAGATTTAAATAATAAAATAAACTGTTATCTTGTTCCGTATCCTTTTTCTTCTTGCGACGACTGGTTTCGTGACGACAGTCACATCCAGGGGTGCCCAGAGGGGGGTACTGTGGCGCGTTTGCGCCCCAGGAATTTTTGGGGTGGGACTTATTTTGAGATTTTTGGGGGGGGGGATATTTTTTGCCAGCTGTCATGAATGTATAATTTTGTATAAGCAGCCCGAAAAGTGTTTCTAAGTAGCTCACTATCACCCCCAACAACATTTTGCCGTTCGTAATTAAGATAGCTTCTAAGAATGGTAAAAACGGACCTTGCCAGACAATCCTTAATATGCCAGTGTCGAGTTTTATTTGCTACATATGTTTTGGTGGTTCTTTAACTCCACCATCGTCAGGATTTAAAAAAGATCCACTTCTGGAGGTGTCGTCAGAATACGACAAAAATTTAATACAAAACACGAAACTATTACAGATAGGCCTGTCAATTCGTACATTGCCGTCGGCAGGACTGGAAGTAAGTAAACTGAATCAGGTTCAGGTTATGACGGACCGACGTGGTCTCTGGATTGTCGTCTGCGTTTTCAACAGCTGATATTGGACTATTGTAGTGACTGAGAAGAGTATTGAAAATATAATGGGATTCAGTGTTTTCACTAAAAAATGTTGTGCTGTCAATAGTTTTATGTATATTTCAAACTCCTCAAAGTATTTAATAAATTTCCTTTTCTGCAGTAATGTAGAATGTCGAGACCATATAAATTGGTTATTATTGTCATTAATTTTGAATGGAAAAATCAATCATGAATCCCATTATATTTTCAACACTCTCCTGCGTCACTAGAATTAGTCCAATTTCAGCTTTTGATAACACAAACATCAATCCAGAGACCACGTCTTTCCGTCATTACCTGATTCAGTTTACTTCCAGTCCTGCCCGCGGCAATATATACACGCGTGAATTGATATGCCTATCTGTTATCTTTTCGTGTTTTGTGTACAAACGGATTGTCTGACAAGATGCGTTTCTACCATTATTAGTCATAAAAGGCAATCAAAATGAATAAATTATAAGATTACTTCGTCACAAAAACCTTTTGTACTGGTGGCAATTATTAAGAGATACTGTGGGTATTTTGCCCGGTGATTTTTGTAGAAGGCAGCCTGGGAGTGGCGAGCAACAAGTCTGTCTTATTTCGTGACTCTGCCTATAATTTTGAAACAATATACTTTTTGCCAAAGTAATGCACTTAAAGCTGTTTGAATTCTTAAGCCCTGTAAAAATTAACGCCACCTAATATATTGTACAGTTACAGTACTGTGTTGGAGTAGAGTAATTCACCGAGTAGGCCTATATTGTTGTACGTTTTTTGAAGACGTTGTCTATTGCAATACTGAGCACACATATATTGGCTGACAATACAGATTCTGAATTATAAATGGAAAAACTTCTAATTCGTCCATTAGTTAGATTTATATTGATGTATATGACGTTTCATATTAAACATTTTATTTTGATTATCAGCAAGTTTGTTTTTCGTACCTCAAGTTTACTAAATACTTTAAATGCTTGTTTTATGAGGCAAAGGGAAAATTGTCAGATAAATTGGTGAGGGGAGGGTAGGTTTAAATAGACGGCAGCATAAATTGGAGGGGGGACTACTCCTTTGGCTTGGGGGGGGGATTGCGCCTCTGGGTTTGGGGGGGATGGGCACCTCTGGTCACATCATCAGGTCAATCCTCGTAGAACGACTTGTTATAAATAAATACATAGGTAGATAAAGTTTTTACCGAACACAGAACCAAAATACATTTTATTTAAAAAGTATTTACAAACAGAAACCATCGCGTTGCGTGCACGCTTACGTCGAGCCGGCCGCGACTATGTAAACCATGAAATATTACTCAATGTGGATAATAAAACACTGTTCATTTTGTATAGTACTTATTTACTTCCCTTAAGTTTCATCACGATCAGATGGTTGTTTGGTAACGCATAGAGGACGAACATTGGATTTCATAAATTTACATAACAACGACCAAAGCAGAGAGACTTTTTTAGACAAAGATATAGTGTAGAGGCATATCCATCTTGACAAATAAAAAATTGGATTCTTAGTTTGTTTAAATACGGTACCGGTATGAAAATAAGTTGTTTAAAATTTTGAGCTTTTTAGGGACTTATGTCCCTATATGCCCCTAGTTATATTTATAAAAAATGTAAACATTGTAGTTCCAAAAGTCTGACATTGGACCCCTTAAAACCCTCTGGGGCGGAGCCCTTTTGACGTATCTGCACCAAACTTCACACAAACTATCCTTGAATAATGCTTAATAATGCCTGAAAGTTTCATTACAATCTGTAAAGCAGTTTCGGAGTCCATAGAGTAAATACCAACTATATATACATACATACTTCCTCTTTTATCGATATAGATTCTATTATGTACGTAATTGAATCTGAATCATGATAATACTGGACAATTTTAAGGAATATTTCAGTGAAAATCTAACCTGGTCATGAAAATTAGCTTAGTGTGCAGGTTTGCTTCGGGAAGGGTATTTTGTTCTTTTTTACTCATTATCATTCTATGGATTAAAAAAATTAGAAGACTCGTAGATTTATCCAATAATGGTACCAAGGTATCTCAAAACTTGTCAATAAATTGAACTGTTTTAGGTCGGCAGTACTGTACCAGCCCCTGTAGGAAAGCTAAACTCAAAACTCCAAGATATAAAAGAAAACTACAGAAACCAGAAGAAGAATGAAACTTTTGGTGTCGAAGATGTCTACGAAAAGGTACATAAATTTATATAAAATTTAGTGTGCACAATTTAAAGTAAACAAAACTTAATGGATTATTAATTGTTAAGTAACTTGTTGGATTAGAACCTTAAAATATTTTTTTGTTTTCTTATTTAGAATATATAACAGAGTTTCTTGTCTCTTTATCTCAAAACTTAACTTCAATCAAATAATGAAACAGAAGAATATTAATAGATTCCGCAATTTAAAAGATGACCTCTCAGCTGATTTCAATAGCATGCACATGTGTGTGTTCTACTTTAATGGGAACAGAACCACTTGTTAGATAAGTGCTATCTTGAGTTGAATACAAAGGTATTTAAACAGTTAATTGGGAACAATGTACGGTTCAACTATTTAGTGCACTGAGAACCTGTTTGTTACATATGGCATTTTTGTACCTAGAAATACCATTGTAAAATTTTTTCCTAGTTTTGGGACAAAAGAAGGTTTATTTGTATTAGTATGTCTGATTTTTATGATGAGGTAAGTTGTGCATTAGCCCTTACATTTTCCTATGTAAACTTTTTATTAAATTCTTGTTTTACTGCTTATCCTACCAAACTTTTTAATAGATTGGTTTAGTTAATGAATTTGTAATTGTAAACTGAATTGATATTATAGTCCTCTGTTGAATTTTTAACCGATGTATTAGTATAACCATTGACTATTGTATTAATAGTCAAAGGTATAACTTAAGATCTGCAAAATCTCATGTGTTATTTTTTCCTACAGGTTTGTTTACTTTAATTTTTTATATTACAAGGCAAATGCATTTTTGATTGTATTTAATAATGTTTTAAAATGGTGATTCTTTTAAAATCGTTGACTTGTGTTGTAGGCACAGAGTGCTAGAGACATGCGGCGGGGGATGACAGGGCTGGTGTATGACACTCGGATGGTCAATCATCACTGTCTCTGGGACTCTGCTCATCAGGAGTGTCCAGACAGATTCAGCAAGACTTTAGACAGGTAGCCTAAAGTATATAATACACACTAGAATTTATTGGTGATTTCATTTTTGTATAACAATTAAGCAAAATGCAATACCCTCCTCAAATAACTGTTCTACGAAGGTGGTGGATATTGTTATGTCCCACCTTCACATGATGGGAAGCAAGGCTCTAGCTCGAAACAGTTTTACACTCTGCTCCAAGCCAAGCCTAGAGGGTTGCGGCATTATCACATAGTTAAAATGAATCGGTGATTAGCGGGATTTGAATACAAAACTCAGGAACCAAAGCCCCTCACTAAGCCAGCTCGCTCCCCACGAATATGAGGCATGGGAAGTAAAACACTTTAATGGTCCAAGTACTTTGACGTATGAAATTGCTTTTGTGTTAACATGATGAGTAGAAAAAGCATGCTGGCATCAGACTGGGAATTCTGGGAAAGCCGGACACTATGCATGAATTTTGTGTGCCAGGAATTATGTGGGAATTAAGAAATTTCGCCAAGAAAACCTAAAGTTAGTTTGTGAAAAATTAATTTTAAATTACGATTTTTAATTAATCTAGAAAATTGTCCCATGGTCATCAACAAGTGAGAACATAGTTTGTGGTCACAGCAACATTAATGTCTGCGGACACAGCAAAATTGTTAACGGCTTCTTTCGGTCATGGTAATATCTAGAACAGATTCTGAGGTAACAGCAAAATCATTAACATCTTCCGCGGTCACGGTGACCATCGTCCCTCACGATCGCCACGAAACTGTGAACATCACTCGCGATCATGACAAAATCATCAATTTTTGATTGTTTATCTTCCCAAACATTTGATACTTGACCTGAGCTTGACTCGATAATCATTTTCAGAACGAACCGATCCCTCTGGCCAAGTGTTGGCCCAACTCTAATCAAAACTATCGGAAACCCGCAAGGTAAACTGGTTTTTTCAGGATTTTTGGTCACCCTGAAACAGGATTATATTAGTCATAATTATATCTCTGAATAATCCACAGAATAAAAAGGGTTGGTATGAAAGATGTTTTGTAATGTGGTGTAACAGGTGTGTAGAGCTGGGACTGGTGGAGAGATGTCAGATAGTGCAGGGGCGGGAGGCCACGGAGACTGAGCTGTTGACAGTTCACTCCCAGCAACATATTGATAGGTTGAAGCAGACCGATGGTTGTCAGGACCTGCAGCAAATGGAGCAGCTTGCCTCTGGGTTTGATGCTGTCTACATTCATCCGGTGAGGATAAACAGTATCTTGGATAAAAGCCTCAAAGTCGAATGGGTTTTGATCGAGCTAAATTATATCTCTTCTCCCCACTCCAGCTGGTTTGACCATTGACACCTGTTCAGTATCTTGTTTATAATTGATTTCCTTTATAATAATTTGGAATAAAATGACAACACAGTATGTTTTCTAAAGTCCATAGTAGAAGTGAAGTTTATTTACAACAAATAAATAAACATAGCAAACACATGACATACAATATCATACATGACAGCTGCTATAAACTTAAGACCAAGAAGGCAATGAGGAACAAGATTACACAGTAGAGTTACGGTATCTGTTCTCATTAGATCTTGTGTCGATTGTAAAAATACTGTGGTGCTTCAGTACAAAATCAAGTTTAACATATTTATTTGATTCAAGCTATAGTTCGGCCGCTTCGAAAGCGACCTCCTCCAGCATTGGTTTAGCATTAGCGTGCAGGTTGTTTTCTAAGCGGCCAAACTATAGTCCATCACCGAAACGTGGACCTCTACAACGGCAATGAATGCATGTGCGCACACAAATTTTCAATGGAAATAAATAGTCAAAAGAAATTTTGAAAGTTTTCAACAATGGTGTTTTTAGATTGTCCTTTCTTTTGGAAAAGGGAAGAAAACAATGACTATGAATCTATAGGCTATCTCTTTAATTGTGATTATCAATTGGACGATCGTTTATCTTTTAGTTTTGTTCATTACATAAAGGATCAATCTATTCCAATACCTTTTATATCGATTTCAGTATGGAGTATTGATACAGTTGTATGGCTTAACTTATTGCAGGCATTGATTGTACTTTTCATTCCACAGGAGACGTACAAGTTGGCCTTGTTATCTGCCGGCTGTACAATACAACTGGTGCATGAGGTGTGTTGTGGCAATGTCCACAACGGGATGGCTATTGTGAGGTAAGTAGCCTGATAGGCTGTAAACTTATCTAGTAGGCCTACCTGTGAAGAGACACTACAATATAAAGTACACATTATAATGACACAACAGTATAGTAGTTACACACCTTTCTTAAAGTTAAATAGTAAAAAATTAACAAGTGATTTTACTACTGCTCCTATAAAAATGTTAAATTGTTGTTTACTATTGGTCAAATAAATGAGAAAATACTCATATTTGGGTATTTTTCTTTAGGGTTTTAACAAACAATTATAGTTAAAGAGCCCTTCTATCAAGTATAGGGGTATTTTCTCGGTAGCCGGTAGTTCAATTCAATGAGTCAGCAACGCATCCTGGGGAGTGTATTTTAAGCTGGACATAAATTCGGAGTGAGATAGGTAACTTATGTAGCTTGCCACTGACTAATATCAGCAGTTTCTCTGTCCAGGACCTTATTAATGATTATAGCTGGATTCAGTTTTGAACCGACGAAAAGATACTGAAATTTCCCAGGATTGAACTGGCAATCTTCTGACTGTCAGGCAAGCACTTTGACCATTCAATGTGAAGGTTGATGGATTAATCTTGAGCGGGATCAATTCGGGACCCAGATACCATTGTGTTAGTGATCTAAAAAGGTTAATGTTGGATACCAATAACATCAGGTTTTGGACTGTTACCTTATACATAATTTTGAAAATGCCAACAGTTTTATAAAATTCAAATAAATATTATGGATGAGAAATATCACATAACAACCCGACTAGTGTAGAGGAGTAAGGTAACACAGTTGTCTGTGGCAGGCCCCCCGGACACCACGCAATGCACAGCGACTTCTGCGGCTACTGCTTTTTCAACAACGTGGCAGTGGCAGCGAGACACGCCTTGGACCACCTCGGTATGCGCAGGATACTCATAGTGGACTGGGACGTTCATCACGGACAGGCCACCCAGCAGATGTTCTACAATGACCCGAGGTACTTTGGTAGATTACTGAATAACTGCTACTGGGTGTCTAATGATCATCTTAGTCACTGAAAATTTACTGTTATCAATTATCATCAATTATTTAAGATAAGGACGCCACTATGTGCGTATTTTAACCCAAATATGAGTGAAGGATGAGTGTAGGATGAGTGGCGCGATCTTGTAGTCTTGTTAGTGACTAAGGCCACAGAAAACGTACTACTATAACCCAGAATGCCAACCGCATGGTAAAAAGCATTAAGCGGTTTGAGAGAGCTTTGCCTGTCAATCGGTAGGCAGCGCCACCAGCGTTGCTATGCTATTGCATGGCAAAGCTGGTGGCGCTGCCTACGGATTGACAGGCAAAGCTCTCTTAAACCGCTTAATGCTTTTTACCATGCGGTTGGCATTCTGGGTTATAGTAGTACGTTTTCTGTGCTAAGGCCGACATGTTCCTTAGACACGCCCATACAGCTAATGGCAACTAAGGGACCTACAGTTTATAGTGGAATCCGAACCAAATTTTTTCCTTGTAATTTACGAATTGGTCTAATTATCAGGATAGTACTGCGGATAGTCGTAGTACTCACTAGTGTGGACGTTAATCCACACCAGGGAGCATCGCATCCACAGTGTATCCCTATAAATATCCACAATCCGTGACCTCCTAGTAGCTGGATTACAGGACGACGCCATCCGTCCCAGTCTGTTGGGTCATAAAAATAAAATTATTCCAAAGTTATAGAAAAATATGTGATGATGATCTTCCTTCCTAACTTAAGCCTTCCTTGGTTGAAAATGCTGCCAGTGGCAGTAACATATTATGTTTGTAAAGTATTTGCGTTTCCTATGCCAGGATGGACTCCTTCCTAGTCGGACCATTCTAACAATCTCCAAAACCTAGGCTCTATTGGTGTATATTACATCATTATATGTCAGGTCCAGGTGTAGATATCTTACCTCTTCGCCTAATCAGGATCATTGTTGGAACCTCAGTAGATATCTGGCCTCACCGACAATACATCTCAACTCTGTTCTGTATGCTGCAGCTAGAAGTGAGGACTCAAACATATTGATGTAGTTATTGATACCCAATGTAATTTTAATCTAGAACCTTTGTTACTGCAGAGTGGTCTACTTCTCCATACATCGTTATGAGCACGGTGAGTTCTGGCCCAACTTGCGAGAGTCAGAGTTTGACTTTGTGGGAGAAGGCGCAGGTGGGGGATTCAACTTCAACCTCCCTCTCAATAAGACTGGTATGGGAGACAACGACTACATGGCCATCTTCCATCAGGTCCTGCTACCCATGGCTGCCGAGGTTGGTAACTGAGTAAGCGAATCAACTCTCTTTTATACAAGACTTGAGTGAACTTTAATACTATCTTAGTCTTTCTTACTATCTTAGTCTATGCATACAAGAAATGCCTGGTACTGTAACTTAACATGTCTTGTAATCTTGAATTCAACTAAACTTTTGCTTCAAAAAAATTGTAGGTTTAAAAAACAAATTTGTTATTAATTTAAAGAGTTACCTTGATACATTATTCCATTTAGGCCAATAAAAAAGTTCTGTTGTACAGTCATCATCAATATTGCAAGAGTATTTTTTGAGCTTGATTATTTTATTTTTAAGCTTTCCAGTGATAACTATTGAGCAATAATGTTACTTTTTTTAAATATTTATAGTAGTATTTAATTTTTGCAATGATTATTGTTTGTTCAGTTTCAGCCAGAACTCATAATTGTGTCTGCTGGCTACGATGCTGCCTTAGGATGCCCTGAGGTAATTTGTTTACTTATTGGGGGTGTTAAACAACTTTGTCAAGAAATAAAAACATGAATAAAGAAGAATATGTAAATGTCCGATGGCAAAGTTGTATCAGTATAAATGGTATAACTACTTTAATTATAGAATATTCTGAACTATACCAGTCAAAAAATGTCATTTGTAATAATTAATAATACTGTAGAACCTCGATAAAAAGACCCTCAATAACAAGTCATTCTTGATAACAAGTCTTATTTTATAATCCCTATGAGAGTCTTGTTATCAAGGTTCTACTGTACTATTTTGATTTGTTTGTTTACAAGGCTATGTACAATGCAAGAGTGTGAGTCGTGTGCAAAGGCCATCCAAACATCTTATCTCATTATAGGCCTAGAAATGTATATCAAACCAACATTTGCGAGTAAATTTTGTTATCAAACTTAATAACTCAATGAGCCAACGTGATCCTAGGCATGGTGTATCTAATGTGTAAACTTCTATTATTATAAAACAATTAGAATAAATAAAAAACTCAATAAAGTGACCAGAGATGTGCTTAGTTTGCAGGTATACTGCAGTGGAGGCTTTTGTATTTGAAATCTATAACCACTGTGTTTTGCTTTCAGGGGGAAATGTCTGTTACTCCGGCTTGCTACGCTCACTTGGTGTCCTCACTGATGGGTTTGGCATCTGGAAAAGTTGCTGTCATATTAGAGGTGATTTTAACAATTCATATACGAGTAACTCTAACATATATTCAAGCAATCAAGGTCGTTAATTATACAACTGAAAGTTGGTTGATGACCGATTGACTGTTTTTGTTAAACAGGACACTTTGTTAGATAGTTTCTACACTACAACTGGTTTCTGGCCTGTATTGATAATTTATTAGGCAATATAAGCTCCATGAATTTTGATCAGCCAATGTCTGATCGAGGTTCAACGTTTATCTTGCAACCGTGTGTGTTTCCCAGATGACTGTGTTGCTACAGGGCATGCCCTCAGAATATAATATAGCCACTAAATTTGTTTAAAAGTTTTTTGGAAGAAAAATACGTTTTCAGCCTGGGAAAAGAAATCTACCTTGAAACTTATCTAGCTACACAAACAGCCTAGTTTGTCTTTAGCGTTGTGTTTACATGTTGCAGGGAGGCTACTGTGTCAGATCCCTAGCGGAAGGTGCCGCACTGACGTTGAGGGCTCTGCTGGGAGACCCGTGCCCCAACCTCCCCCCTCTCTCACCTCCCTCCAACAGGTGACGTACAATCAACACAACAAACAGACAAACCTTTTAGTAACATGGCAATATAATAGCCAATTTTGCAAATGTGTTGAATATTTGAAATACCACTGAATATTTTACTTTTGAAGAAATAATTCAACGGGTTTGTTACATAGATTGTAGATTGATACATATTTTATATCATTACTCAATTACAAGGAAATATCAACTTTACCAAATCACCACTTAACTACAGTAAATACGTGAGTAACCGAGTGGTTATAGTTAAATAAATGCTGAGCCAGTATTAAATATAAACAGATTAGAGCCTGAATTAGTGAAAATGTTGGTGTTGATAAATTAATAATACAAAACTATTAGACATATTGTTGTTTCTAGGGATGGTCAAGTCTCGAAATTTCGGGAAATTTTCGGGAAATTTTAAATCTCGTTACACGAGACGAGATTTCTTTTTGGCCGAGATTTTTATCAAGACGAGAATAAAAAAAAAAAAAAAAAAAAAATTAAAAACACCTGCAGAAAGTCAATGCAATACCCGCAATACAGGAGCGTGTTGTAGTTGCGTTTCCTTTGCGAAGGTGTTCTTATTTAATTAATTCTTTAAATGTAAATATTACTTTATTTAATAATATTACTTTAATAACATTTGAGAAGTTTTGTTAAGTGTAAGCAGTGTGAGGAATGTTTTATTACTATAAAAAGTCAAAACAAGTAACTATTTTATAAAAATTAATATTGCTTTTATTTTATGATTTATTTTATTTTAGGATAAGTTGAACTCTATCCTAACTGATATCACTATGTTTCCTAATCGTAGGCATTTTTAATAAGTTAGGCGTGATTAATAAAAAAATGTTATGCTGATGTTTTTTACTTCATGTTGACATACTAGATGTTGTTAACTATTATGTGATGTTTTTTAATAAAAGATTGTAAATATTCTTGCTTATTATCATTATTTTTGTATTTAAACAGTCATCTAACAATGTTACAAAATCAGGTAAAAATTTTGAACGTGCATTTCCCGTTGTGTATGAGAAGGGAAATCCCGTCTCGAAATTTTATGAGAAATAAAAAATCTCGTCTCGTCTCGTCTCGAACTAAAAATCCAATCTCGTCCATCCCTAGTTGTTTCCAATACCTATCATATATTACAGTTTTTGAAAAACAATATTTCATAATATTATTATTTGTGAATAAAACCTTGTGTTGTATTGTAACTTTGAGTTTAAAAGTAAGACAGTTAGTTGTGACAAAGCCTATTGAGAGGATTGAGGTTTGGTTATGTTGCCTAACCTACTCTTGCTTCGAAATATAATTACCTCATCATAAAGCACATTTTAAAATTGCATGTTTAGTACGTTTTTGCAAAAGCAGAGAGACAAATTCTATTTAACTAGTATTTAAAGGGGAAAAACAAAAAAAAACGAAAACCGATTTGTTAAAAACCGAAACCGAAACTGAACCGATAAAATCAATAACTAACCCATCACTAATTAGAACAGAAACAGAGCCGAAGGACACAAGGCAAGATGGTCTTCAAACCATCTCTGATCTTAGCTATTCAACCAAAAAGAAGGTAATTCTTACTCTCTGATCTCATTTGCGTTGTTTGTCCAACAGTGTCCAAGACAGTATCCTGAACTGTGTGTACAGTCACCGCGCCTACTGGAGATGTTTTCAGTGGCAGGCGAGCTACTGTGCTAGAGACAGGGGTGAGAGTGAGACGCAACATTGGCCGCAGGTGGTGTGGAAGTACACAGGTGTTCGTACTGATGTGTACCCCACCCGCAACACGTGTCCGGTACAATCCCAAGCTTTCAAGGATGAGATCAACAACAAGCTGGACCGACTACTTGCAGGTCTGTTGTGTTATAAACTCTAGTCCTCTGTACCATGTGCCCTCGAGTTTGAGGGGTATAGAATTGAGAGCCACGTCTATTCAAGTGTTTGTAGGGTAATAGAAACAATGCGTTCAGAGATTAAGAAAGGGAAAGGAGGCAGAGAGGAAAAGTATTTGCCTAACCTAACAAGGAAATTGGCTCATAACTGCCAGGCATATTCATATTACATCCAGAGTTCATCTTTTGAAAATTGGTAAGGGTCCCTAAAATTCATTTCCCTGTCAGCAATATTAGCGTTGTTAAGTCCCAGGGTACTAAAGAAACAATTACCCACCCTTACTCCAACACCTTCTATCTAACGCAACTCTTAAAAGATAAATTCTAAAATTTGTGTGGCCCCTTCTATGTTCCTTTGGCCCTTGCCATGTTAAAAACTAGATATAATACATTGTTTTCACTTTGTGTTTTCTAGGAATATAAAAAAAAACTTTTTTAAGAACACAAAAGTAGGCACATACACTCAGGCTTGTTTGTGCATGAAAACAAGTTGCAACACTGGCTCGTCTTTTTATTACTTCAGTAAAAAAGTATTCACATGTTTATTACCATTCTGGTTGTCCCTGACTGTAATTTATTGTGTTGTACATTGGTCTTGGTCTTTTCTGTTTCAGAAACCAAACTTCTTAAGACAAAACACAATGTTTGTTTTGTTTATGATCCACTAATGATGGAACACAAGAACTTCAGAGATCCGTAAGTTGATATCATTTTCATTCAGTGGTACAATCGATGACTGTATGAGTAAGCTTAAAAATATATGTACAATAACTCTAACAACTTAAGATATTTAGACTGTTTAACTATTTAATGAGTTTGTTGCTGGTGTTGCTGGAGGACCTCTCACTAAAGAATATTTTTTTTATTTTCAAACTATATTTAAGAAAATGCAGTATATTCAAACAAAATACTGATGGTTTTTTTGTTGTTGTTTTGTTGAATTTCTTGACGTGATCCAGCCCAATCCTGTATAGAGGTGGGAATGAGAAGGAGAGGAGGGGAGGAGGAAATGGAGAGGATGGACAAGAGGGGTCATAGATTTCAGGTTCATTAGTTAGTGACTTCTAACTTCTTATCACAAACATTCTAAATTCCTAAAATCAACACCATGACTGGAAGAAATTTTAATTTCACATTTGATGATTCCAGGGGTCATCCTGAGAGGCCAAGCCGTATTCAGAAGATTTATGAAAAGCATTTAGAATATAAACTCCTGGATCGACTACACATACTGCAAGTAAATATAATTTATTCATATACATTAGTTATGTTGGTTGTTAGTGAAAGTTTGTAGTCGTTGTATCCAGAGGTGCCCATCCCTCCCAAACCCAGTGGCGCATTCCCCCCCAATTTATGCTGCCCTCTATTTCAACCTACCCTCCCCCTCCAATTTACCTGGCAATTTCCCCTTTACCACATAAAACGAGCATTTCAAGTATTTAGTAAACTTGAGGTAAAAAAAAAAAAAACTTGCTGGATAAACAAAATTAAAAGTTTAATAGGAAACATCATTTAACAATACAAACTTAGGCCTATATATAATTAATGGACGAATTATTATTTTTTTTCAATTTACAATTAAAATCTGTATTGTCAGCCAACACCTGCTCAGTATTAAAATAGACAACGTCTTCAAAACGTTCAACAATATAGGTGAATTACTCTACTCCAACACAGTACTGTTACTGTACAATATATTTAGGTGGTGTAAATTTTTATAGGGCTTAAGAATTCAAATAACTTTAGGTGCACGAATAATACTTTGGCAAAAAGAATCTTGTTTCAAAATTAGGTCACGAAATAGGGCAGACTATGAGGTGTTGCTCGCCACTCCAAGGCTGCTTTCTACAATAATCGCCAGGCAAAATACCCACAATACCTTAATTGTCACCCGCACCACAAAAGGTATTGTGACGAAGTCATTCATTTTGATAGCCACAGGTTTGCGTATTATGACTATAATAATGGTAGTGTTTTGGCGGTTCTTTAACTCCACCATCATCAGGCGTACAAAAGGATCCACTTTTGGTGGTGTCGTCAGAATATGTCACAAACGTTAAACAAAAAACACGAAACGATAGCAGATAGGCCTATCAATTCACGCGTGTACATTGCCGCGGGCAGAACTGGAAGTAAACTGAATCAGGTTATGGCGGACCGACGTGGCATCTGGATTGTTGTCTGTGTTATCTACAGCTTATATTGGACTAATTGTAGTGTAGTGACAGAGGAGAGTGTTGAAAATATAAAGGGATTCATAATTGAGTTTCCCATTCAAAATTATTGACAATAATGACCAATTCATATGCTGGATATAAATGATGGTCTCGAAATTCTACATTAGTGCGGAAAAGGAAATTTATTAATTACTTTGGAAAAGTTTGAAATATTTAAATACATAAAACTAGGGACAGCACACAAATTTTGAATTAAACACTCGATTAATTATGAATCCAATTATATTTTTAACACTCTTCTCAGCCACTACAATAGTCCTATATCAGCTGTTGAAAACGCAGACGACAATCCAGAGACCACGTCGGTCCATCATAACCTTAACCTGATTCAGTTTACTTCCAGTCTTGCCGACGGCAATTTACTCGCATGAATTGAAAGGCCTATCTGTAACCGTTTTGAGTTAAATGTTTGTAACGTACACCGACGACATCTGCAAAAGTGGATATTTTTGTAAGCCTGACGATCGAGGAGTTAAAGAACCGCCAAAACATATGTAGCAAGTAAAATTGTACCCTACCGTCCATGTTAAGGATTGTCTAACAAGGTGCGTTTTTACCGTACTTAGAAACACTTTTTCGGGCTGCTTATACAAAATTATACATTCATTATGACAGCTAGCGTGGCGCGAACGCGCCACAGTACCCCCCCTCTGGGCACCCCTGGTTGTGTCTTGGTTCTGTTAACACTTATTTTGTTTGGTATTTTACAATATTTCAAGAACAATTAATTATTATAAACTGTTTGCTGATCTAAATGTCTTCATTACACCGAACCCGGACACCATCAAAGTGTAATATTTCTTTCGCCTTTTATTGTCAAATTGAGGGTTCGTTCCAAAAACATTATCATTGATTTATAGATCAGTTTGTGTTGAATTTGAAGGAAAGTAATGTTAAAGGATAATATTCTCTGAAGGACCACCAATCAGGTGACAATAAATGTGCTTATGTCAAATGAGGAAATGTATAAGTAGTGATCAAATGTGTAAGCGCATGGTGATAGCTAGTCCTGCTGATTCTGTGTGTTTCAGAGTCGACCAGCCACAAGAGAAGAGTTACTTCTGGTACATGAGGTGACATATCTAGATGAAACAAAGCAGCTGTGTGCCATGGATCAGCTGACTGATGATCTCAAACACAAACTGTCCGTGATGGAGAGGAAAGACTCTGTTTACATCCATCCTCAGTCTTACGAGAGCGCAAGCCTCGCTACTGGCTCCTTGCTGCAGGTACTGTCTTATTGCAGCTTTGCTTGTAAAAATCATTTCTCAAATATTCTGATTCCTAACGGAAACCCGAATGACCAAACTAAAATTTCCCATTAATTTATTGTAGTTACTCGTATTATTTTATTATCTTGTGTTTGTCATGCTGAAATCATCACCACTGAAAAAAAAGTAAACTTAGTTCTCTTCTCATTTTAATACAAGTTTAGTACAGTTGTAATTTGAACTGGGTGTGGCTAAGGTTCTTTCCAAAAGTTATAAGAATTGGGACATTTACCAACTTATAAAGTTTTGAAAGTGATTATAGTGAAAATGTCTTTAAATAATACTTTGATCTGCCACAATTTCAAAAGACAAATGTATTAACTATTTTTCAGATTAGAACATTATAGATTTGTATGTTGCATTGTTTCTAAATTCTGTACCACAAAAGTACTGGATACTTAAGCATACTTAAATTCATAGTTGGGTAATGTATGATTTGGTGTATTGTTAATTTTAATTTATTGTTTATACTTTATATTCTTGCCTGTGATTAAAATTTGCATAGTTTGTTAAATTAAGATTGAAGACTAATGCTGCTGACTGATCGATTTTTGTACTTTTGAACCAATATGATTTGTTAACTTAATTTTTTGTGCTTGAATAAATAAACTTGAATAACCGCTCGGGTAGTTGAAATTGTTGGATAAAATATGCTATGACTGCTTAGTTAGTTGACATTAGATAAAATTTTATGTGAACAGTCAGGAAGTCGGCATTATTGGATAATATATAACATCACTGTTCAGGTAGTGGACAGTGTGATGCAAGGGGAGAGTCGGGCCGGAGTTGCTGTGATACGACCACCTGGTCACCATGCTGAGTCCTACGCAGCCTGTGGCTTCTGTTTGTTCAACAACGTCGCAGTAGCAGCCAAGTACGCACTGAAACATTACGACATCAGCCGAGTACTTATCTTAGACTGGGACGTTCACCATGGCAACGGCACTCAGCGGATATTCCTGTCAGACCCTCGTGTGCTCTACATGTCCATACACAGGTAACAGCTCACTTCTGTCATCATGCGGATGTTAACAGTGTCGATCACATTAACTGCTACACTTCCTATGAATATTTACCATAATACAGCCAAGTTAAAAGATCTGCACAATGTGGACTGGAAGGTGGTCAAGTTTGAGAAATGCCACTTGTCAGGAGAAAGGAACAAAAACTGGTTTATGATAAAATACTTGGTTTTCTTTTTATTTACCATAGACAGATATTAAATTTGTAGCACTATAGCATTGACAAATTACAAATTCAACTCAATGGAGACAATAATTGGCAATTTTTTTAAATACCTCATGGTTACGATGCTGATTATCAGACTACTGATAACTGGTTCGGAGGCTACTGGCTAACGCTCTGGTCTTCCAGTGTGCATCCTTATTCACTGTAGTGCTTGCTCTAAATAGTAAAAGCAAATTATCGTTTAACTAACTATCGATAAAACTACCGAGTTCTATAGATATATTCTATGTTGTACAGGTATGATCGTGGCACGTTCTTTCCAAGCTCTGAAGACGCTGCGGCCACTGTTGTAGGTGATGGAGATGGTGTCGGGTTCAACGTCAATATACCTTGGAACCAGGTTGGTTGAAAATTACCATTGCTAGCTGTTTTTGTAGAGTGTTGTGTGATGAGCTAGTAGACTGTAAGTGTTGAAAAACAGTAACGAGTTGTGTTCATCTGCAGAAAGCTTTTTCTTTAAGAAAGGGGAGGACAATTAGCGATTGTCTTAGTGTATGCTGTGGGATCAAGAGCCCGAGAATAGCTTTAGGTTCAGAACAGGACGTTTACGTTTTTTTAGATTTATATCTCCTCCTACTCTCTTCTCTTTCCTAATTAGAATTATTCATAAAAATCATCATTTACAGCTATTTGGCATTTAAAATCATGCAATAGACACAGTCAGGTTTTTACTGACCGTATGTTGTTAAAACAAGATTCTTAAGCATGTTTTTAACGATTTTAAATGTTAAAGCATTTAGTCAAGTTTCTAGGTTTCGATTCCTCAGGTTTACAGCATTAAGAATCTAAGTTTAATCTGAGAGTTAAGATTGTTTCGTAGCAAAGTTAGAATTTCACGGCAGATCAGGGTAGGCGCTAGGTTAGCCTGCATCCAATTGTGATTTTTGTTAACTAATTAGAGGTATTTTTTTTGGATACTCAAAATTCTATTTCACTTAAGGATATGCTGCTGATAACAATAACACAACAGCATTAGCAGATGGAACACCAAGGTTGAATGAGATGTTTGGTGTTGTGTTTAGAAGGGGATGGGCAATGCAGAATACGTGATGGCGTTCCAGCAAGTAGTGATGCCGATCGCCTACCAGTTTGCTCCTCAACTAGTCCTGGTCTCTGCTGGGTTTGATGCTGCCATCAATGATCCTTTGGGAGGTAAATATAACCTTATGTTGCATTTAACTCACTTATGTTTCCAACATGGTACAAAAAACATAAAAGGGAGGTCTACTTTTAGCAATATCAGAGTGTGTATTCCATTAATTTCAAGGAATAAACAGGAGCCTTGTTAACATGCCTCCTAATACTTCTGTTGCGGCTGGTCCAAACACTTTTGTATCAAAAAGTAGAAATTGATTTTTTTACCATTTTAGAGTCAATGACAGGTACAATAAAAGAAGATGATTTTTACATTGAAGATTAAAAGTAGTTTTTAGTACATACTCCTAATTCTTTGTAGCACAATGTTCCAAATACAGAAGACTTTTCTACAAAATGGTTGTTTAAAATATTTTTTATGTATGTGAAAGTTAATCCCATAAGACGATAAGTTACATGTACTCTTCAAGTCAAATCAAATTATATTGAATATTTCATTTTGCCGTTAGCCGGAAAACGGTCTGGAGACTGAACACTTAAATTGGTCATTGGAAAAAATTTCTGGGACAGCCTCTTGGAACAACAACTTCTTCTCTAGGTAAACAATGATTTCTAGAATGAACAGTTTGAGTGTTGAGTGTACAGTATCACACGTGTAATGTTGTCCAGGATGTAAAGTGGCCCCAGAGGCGTACGCTTTGTTCACCTCGTGGTTGTCCCCGCTGGCTCAGGGCCGAGTGATCATCTGTCTAGAGGGAGGCTACAACCTGACGTCCATTGCCTACTCCATGACTCTGTGTACTAAGGCTCTTCTAGGAGACCCTAGTCCCCCAGTCAGTCTGCCTCCATGGAAACCCTCAGCTGCTGTAGACCTACGGACAGTCCTTGACGTCCAGAAGAACCACTGGTCGGCCGTCTTCAACAAAAGCTTCCCCAAGGAAGATGTCCTCAAAGAGGGTGTTGAAAAAACTGCCTACAGTGTTGATAAATTCCCAGACAATATTGATGAAATTTGCGAAGGCATAACAAAAGTTTCAATCGAAGATGAACAGAGAGATGTAGAGGGAAAGGTAGGAGGAAAAGAAACTCCGAGTGGGGAAAAATCGTCCGATTCAACACATCCTCCTGTAGAGGATTGTAAACCTGGTTCTTCACAAGGTTCTGCAAATGCGAGTGGTTTCACTCTTAAAATCACCACCACAATAGACAGTATCTTGCAGGTATGTTGATGAAAAAGTTTAATATTTTCTTAATAACAGTAACAATTTCATTATTCATCATAAGATAGCCAAATCATTCTCCAGACCTTTTGTTAATGTTAATACTTAATAGTTTTTCTAATATATTTGATCTGAGCAGTCTGTTATTTTTAATAGGCTATTATATGCCTATAGAGTGCAGAATAAAGATTAAATAAATAGTTTAAATTTTTTTTAGCTTTCAACTTCTCGCACAAGTTAAAACTAGTTTGCAAAGTTGGATGTATGTAACTCAACCTCATATCTGTATTGAATAATATAAGAATTTTTTTTTATCAAAAACTTGAAATTATATAGGCCTTATTTATGGCCCTAGGATGTATAAGCATAGGTACATGTTTTATCAATGTAACATAGGACACAAGAGCTTAGATGTGGAATTTTAATGGAATAGCAGATACCTGAATGGGGGGGACTCTCCTGGTAGAAAAAAATTAAAAACTGTACACTTAAACAACAATGGAATACTTCTCTGACGCTTAATAGCTTTTTCAACCAAACAATGTTTGCGTTGAGGACATTTATTGAAAAAAAAAAACTAAACAGAACTACCATCTCACAACATTTACTATATAGCTTCCTAGCCGAATAGGTGTAATGTTCACCTAATAATCTATAGGCAGCTGGTTCAGTGGTGAGAACGGTCAGTAGGTTCTTGATGGTTGATAACTGGTCCCAGCTGTGCTGGATCAGGCTTTGGATACATGTTTCTGCCTAAAGACAAGCTGATTTTAGTCTAGAAACAAAGCTATCATCTCTTCATTCAACACTTATCCTTCACCTTAGATTATGCACCATGGTGTGTTGGTATCTAAAAGGCAATGTAGCAAAGTTTTGTGTGTACATTGCAGGAGCTAGGTATGGACGAGGGGTTTGCTATACACCCCCGCCATGACTGTCCTCATGTAGAAGGTGCTGTAACAGCTGTTCCGGCCACAGGACTGAACACGTCAGCTCCCTGCGTGGAGTGCGGGGACGACCCTTGCGCCACTGTCGAGAACTGGATATGTTTAACTTGCTACACTGTGAGTAGAAAATTAGATAAAAAAATGATTTAATTTTTTTTTTATTGAAGATTTACAGTTGGTACTCAATAATAATCCCGCTTAATGAGTCATTGATTGATGTTTGTACTGTTACTGTGTTTTTTATTGATGCAATTTTCTCAAATTCCTTAGTGGAAGAAAGAGAAACCCCTAATAGTTGAATTTGATGTCAAGTGTTCAAAATAGTTTTTCAGCTGATAAGCTAGACTCAATATTATTTGAGGTAATCCGACAATTTCAGTAATCTAATTCTGTACTCACCAAATTCCTGAAGTATCAGGTTAATCCATAGTTAAATTATCAATATCATACAAAGATAAAATTAAAATAAATGAATAACTGACTTTTCATCAACATAATGATTAGTTTGTACTTTTTACTCATGTACTTAGGCACGTTCTGTAAAATTTTTGCCTAGTTGTAACAGTAGATGTGTTTCCAGGTCCACTGTGGTAGAGTTATTAAGGAACACATGATGCTGCATTCGCTAGAGTTGTCTCATCCAATAGTCCTGGGCTATCAGGACCTCTCAGTCTGGTGCTACTCTTGCGACTCTTATATTGAGAGCCCGGTAAGTAGAATAATTCTGCTCTCATTTTTTACTTATGTGAATTTGATCGTTTACAATCGGTTTATTCATAAAGTTTCGTATGAGTTATGGGCACGTAACTTTCAAAGTATAATTACTAGGGATGGACGAGATTGGATTTTTAGTTCGAGACGAGACGAGACGAGATTTTTTATTTCTCATAAAATTTCGAGACGAGATCGAGACGAGATTTCTCTTCTCATACACAACGGGAAATGCACGTTCAAAATTTTTACCTGATTTTGTAACATTGTTAGATGACTGTTTAAATACTAAAATAATGATAATAGGCAAGAATATTTACAATCTTTCATTAAATAACATCAGCATAACATTTTTTTATTAATCACGCCTAACTTATTAAAAATGCCTACGATTAGGAAACATCGTGATATCAGTTAGGATAGAATTCAACTTATCCTAAAATAAAATAAATCATAAAATAAAAGCAATATTAATTTTTATAAAATAGTTACTTGTTTTGACTTTTTTTATAGTAATAAAACATTCCTCACACTGCTTACACTTAACAAAACTTCTCAAATGTTATTAAAGTAATATTATTAAAATAATGAAAGTAATATTTACATTAAAAGAATTAAAGTAATATTTACATTAAAAGAATTAATTAAATAAGAACGCCTTCGAAAAGGAAACGCAACTACAACACGCTCCTGTATTGCGGGTATTGCATTGACTTTCTGCAGGCGTTTTTAATTTTTTTTTTTTTTTTTTTGTTATTCTCGTCTCGATAAAAATCTCGGCCAAAAAGTAATCTCGTCTTGTGTAACGAGATTGAAAATTTCCCGAAATTTCGAGACTTGACCATCCCTAATAATTACCTATAAAGAGTATACAGCTTCTCCACATAATCAATTTTTTTGCTGATTTGATCGACAGAAGACAGAAGGCATACAGAAGACTATTATTTGCATACAAAGTATAAGTGCTGTTTGGTCTAAACTCTGCATTTCATGTAGCTCAACTCCTTCATGTATGTGGTCCAAAAATGCTATCAAATACACACTACTTGGCAGACCTTATTATATGCTAGTTGAGTGCTGAATAATACAGGCACTTATTAAATGGAAATATAAATAATATTATATTTTTATTAGATATTTTAGGTCTTTTCAAGAAGAGGGGTGCCACTTTTTTACAGTGTGCTCTGGCAGTTAGGTTGGATTGGTTGGTTAGCTTATGATAATGACAAATATGGTCAAGTTTATCTCTTTTGTCAACTACACAAATGCATTTATTTTGTAAAACGTTTAGTTGCCATTACAGGTTAAACACTGAGTTAGGTCTTTCTGATCACAATGCTATATTTATAAACCTCCCTAAGCTAGCCAAGTGTAAAACCACCAAGAATACTTCTAGTTCTTTTAAGAAAAGAATCATCTCTGATAGAAATAAAGATGAATTTTGCAAATATCTACAGAGCACTAATAATAATTTTGTATTTAACGCCGCTTTAAACCCCAATGAAAATTACAATAGTTTTTTGAGAAATTTTTTATTATCTTTCAATCATATATTTCCTGTTAAATCACTAAAAAAGAATGCTAAAACTAATAAATCTACTCTGAATTGGGTGACCCAAGGTATAAGAATTTCCAGTAAGAGCAAACGAGAATTGCACTTGGAAGCCAAGTTTAGTAGAAACCAAGAGTTTTTATCCTATGTAAAGCAATACAAAAAAATATTTAATAAAGTTGTAAAAAATGCAAAAATTCTCTCAAATAATAACCTAATTAGAAAATCTGAAAACAAGTCTAAGGCAGCTTGGCAAATTGTTAACAATGAACTGGGTTTAAACCGTACTCAAAGATACAAAATTATTTTAAAAGATGATACTAGCCAAACCACTGTTGATAATCCTGATGATGTAGCTAAGCTTTTTAACAGTTTTTTCTGTAATACAGTTATTAATCTGAATGTAAAAAAGGCTTCTGTCAATGGTGTTCATTCGTCTGTAAAATCATACTGCAGTGATGGTGGGGTTACATTGTGCAATCTTAGCCCCACTAATAAAGATGAAATAAAAAAGATCATCCTTTCTCTAAAGAACAAAATTTCAGTAGGCTGGGACGAAATCCCAATTAAATTCATCAAATCTGCTGCTGACATTATCTCCGAACCCTTATCTCTTATTATTAATCAGTGTTTAGAGAATGGTATTTTTCCGGATCAACTCAAGTACTCTCAAATTTCTCCCGTTTTTAAGAAAGGTTCAAAATTAGACATTAATAACTATCGTCCAGTATCAGTATTAAGTAATTTTTCTAAAATATTTGAAAAAGTAATAAGCTATAGACTAGTTAATTATTTTGAAAGTAATAATTTATTTTACAATAAACAATTTGGTTTCCGAAAAAACTTAAGCACAGTTTCTGCTCTTACTCAGTTTGTTAATGAGATTGCAGAGGCCTTGGACAGGTCTCAGGCCACAGCAGGTGTTTTCTGTGACCTGTCTAAGGCTTTTGATTGTGTGGATCACTCACTCCTGTTGCTAAAACTGATTGATTATGGGATTGGGGGAAGTTGCTTTTCTTTAATACAATCTTACCTTTCTGAAAGAAAACAAAGAACTTTAATTTTAGAAGATAACAACAAACATTATTCACCATGGGAAATTATATCCACAGGTGTTCCCCAAGGCTCAGTATTGGGCCCACTTTTTTTTTCTTATTTACATTAATGATCTTCCAAAAGCTATTAATAAAGAACTAATTCTTTTTGCCGATGACACTACTGCTTTGATCAAAAATAATAATACAGCTGAAATGTTTTCTTCTCTGCAAAGTGTGGTAAAGGACATGGAGCAATGGTTTTTAGAAAATGGGTTAAAACTTAATGTTGAAAAAACAAATATTATTAAATTTTCTACTAGACACAAAAATATATTAAACTGTTCCTTTAATTTAGTTGAAGCTCATAAATTCTTAGGGGTTTACGTAGATGACGCAGTTAAATGGGATTCACATTTGAATTATTTACGTAACAAAATTAGGTCGATATCATCTTTATTCATACATTTAAGGGACTGTGTTTCTATTGAGACACTTAAAGTAGTTTATCATGCATAGTGTCGAGTCAGTGTTAAGATATGGCATAATTTTATGGGGCCAAGCTACTGGTATTAAAACTTTATTCAGGTTACAAAAACGTATTATTCGTATTATTACCAACTCTCATCCACGCAGTTCTTGTAAGAAACATTTTCAAAATTTAAGAATTCATACATTAACGGGGTTGTATATTCTAGAATTATTAAATTACATACATTCAGTTAAAAATGAGCTACCAGAAACAATACATTTTAATCATAGGTATGAAACCCGAAATGAAAATATATTTAGACTCCCCAGACACCGTTTGACCCTTTATGAAAAATCTCCATTGTACGCTGGGCTGAGATTGTACAATGTGCTTCCGCCATGCTATAAGTCATTAAGCAAAACTAAATTTAAAGATACAATAGATAATTTTCTTATTGACAAGGCTTTTTACTTAATTGAAGATTTTTACAGAACTACAATTTAGATTTTTTTTTTTTTTGTGTTTAATTTTAAGTTAAAAGTTTTAATGTTAAATATTTTATGTATGGATTTAATTTTGACAATGCACCTATTCTAAATGTTATGACATGTATGGAATGTTTTGTGCAAATAAAGTCTATGTCTATGTCTATGTCTATGTCTAAATGTTACCTTTTTTGTATTTATCATGAACTTATCCTAACCAAACTAAAATAACCTAACAATACCTAACCTAACTGCTGCAGCACACTGTAAACAAGTATCAGCCCTTTTATTACAATTTATTACCCCTAAATAAATAAAACCCGCCAAACTTAATACAAATTTTGAGCTGTATCAAATATTACTTCTCTACTAAGCATTAATTGGGTATTCACTGCAGTTTGGCAAGCATGATTCCTTGAGAGAAATTTGTAAACTAAAATAATTCCTAGCTGGTGGGATAAAGCTACCTTGTTTGACGGTTTGTGTAGAAATTGGTGGTACAGTAGACTACCTCTTATCCGAACTCCTCGGGACCGAGGCCAGTCCGGATAACGGTTTTTCCGGTTAAATCGACGTATCAAAATTTGGGAATCACTCGAAAACTAGCCCAAATATTTGACTTCAATTTAGGAGAGCATTGTATTTAGACTTGTGATCACTGGTCTCACATCTTTCTTACGACAACAGTCGTTTCAGTACTGCCCATTTCCAGCCGATCTAGTCCGGTTAAACCAATGTGCTGATAAAAATTGTCCGGTCAAAGAAAAGTCATTTTCGCCGAGTGCAGTCCAGTTAAACCGATGTCCGGTTAAAAGGTGTCCGGATAAGAGGGAGTCTACTGTACAGACCACATAAGTGGCAGATATAGCTGATATTTAAATTTTGCACTGTTTACATCAATGATGTGGTCAGTGTGACAAACGAACTTGAGTGTAAAAGGTAAAATATAAAACTTACAAAATTCCACATATTCTTACAGATCCTGTACGAAGCCAAAAATGCTGCGTACCAGAGCAAATTTGGAGAAAACATGCCTAACATATACACTAACCAACAGCAATGACCATTAGAGCCCGTCTTCTATGTTTCTGATCTAAAACTTAATTTTAAATCATTCATTCACTGTTGTACATTTTGGAGACATTTTAAATTCTATAGTTTTAATTTGGATGTGAATGGAGGATACACAAATAATATCCTGAAGTTTGTGGGAGTTTTTATGCAGATTGCTGCATATCTCTAGTCCTTTATTTGCAAACTGCCTTTGTAGATCGATACATTTGATAATCATCATGATTAAGGTTTAGCTAGTCCTAGAGAATATTGTTAAAACAATGTAAGTACAAAAATTATATATATATTTATAATTGAAACAATTTTGTATTTATATTAAACTCTTAGGTAAAAATATTTTTAAGACAATGTTTGTGATTTTATATAAAGTAGTAGTAACCGTGTAGCAGGTTAAGCTTTATATTTTCTGTAAAATGTGGTTTTATTTGTGTCATGTATGAGAAAATTGGCTACCAAGACCAAACAAGGTTCTCATCTTAATAGAGAGAAAATATTCGTTCTCTCAGTTACTTTTGGGTCAGTCAGAGGGGTTTAACCAGCGAACACAGAATAAAAATAGATGGGCCACTCAAAACAAAAGCTGTCGTCACTTTTATAGCGCCGCCGCCACCAAGATGGCGTCCGCTGCGGATGAATCACTGTAGTGGTGCACGCTCACCTCGCCCATTCCAGTCAGTTCAGTATCGCACACCGTGCTCGTTGGCATAGTACACACACCCTGTTTGTTATATGTTTTACGTTATACTGTACATCTTACGACTCAAAACAGGAGAGCACTGTTTTGAAATGGAACCTGAACATAGCCACATACTTCTTTTAATAAAAGCTTTTTGTAAAAGATATCTCACCGTAAGATTGCACGGCCATTCAAAGCTTTACAATGATTCTTTGCATGTAACAAAAATAAAAAATCAACTTTGCAAAACTATTAAGATTAAGATTGCATTGAAGTTTAAATTAATACTTTTAACTACACCATTAGCATCCACAATTATTACAGTTAGATTGTGTTGAGTTTCAAATTTTTATCTTGACTTTAAGTATGTCAAACAGCGGTGTTAATGAAAAGCGTGCACTACTAAATTCACTGTTTCTGGGCGCTACAGCGCATGGCCCTTCTATTTTTATTCTGTGTTCAATGGGCTTAACTTAACCTATAGAAGGGTAATGTTACACTGCTCAGATTTGTTTTGTAAATGTTAATGTGCGTTAAAAATGAGTTAGTTATCTTTGGAGTAACTATTTTTATAAACATCGATGTTAGGAAAAATAATTTTCGGTACACAGTGGTAAGCTTTTTTAACACTTAATATTTTAAATATGTTTATCCATATAGGCACTGATATTTTAACCCTTTGAGGTCGAATTTTTTCCACATTTTCCGGTGAATTTAGCTTGCCATTTAAGCAGTCAGGAAAATGGCGCCCAGCGACCTATACTCGCCATTCGACCAAAAGATTAACTTTTTTGATTTTTGAGTAATTTTTTTTTTTTTTTTGGGTCCTTGTTGGTCGCAATTTTTTAGCATTGGGCAAAATGGCGGGCGGCGACCTATACTCGCCATTCGACTGCAAAGGGTTTAACTGAGAATGTTAATTACTAGTTACCATTACCCATTAGTTCTTAATATCTTAATTTTGTAACAGATTATTATATTGAAATAACATTATAAGTCCTTGGATTAGTACAGGGTGGAAAGAAAGTCCCGGGACAGTTAAATATTTCATAAAATAATTAAGATAGAGCTATAAAACTTAGTACAAAGTTACTGAGCATAAAAATCATTGAAAACATTATTCAGTGATACCCTACCCCCTCAGGAATACGGCCCGCTAGGAGTCAGAAGAGAATCTTAAATGTAAGCATAGGTTGATATGCACATCAAAACATAGGTCTTTAACCACAAACCCGAACTCACACAGACATCTGAGTCAAAAATAATAGCTGTTCAAATATTCATTGAATTTGCAATGCTATAATATGCTACTTCTTCAAGGGGGGCACCCGCTTGAGGTCGGAAGAAAATCATAAACGTAAGCATAGTTTGATATGCACATAAAATTAAAGGTCTTTATTAGTAGAATAAAATGCCACAAATTTGATCTCATAAGAACAACTGAGTAGGAAATGGCAGCCGTTCAAAGATTAAATATGGCATCTCTGAACATGTTTGAGTTCAAAATTGTTGGCATTGTACTCTGCTATTAAAGGAATTTAACTTAATGTACATATCAACCTATGCTTACATTTAAGATTTAAATAACTTCTTGATTTAAGATTTTTATCTGACTCCCGCTGAGAGGGAAGTGTATCACTAAATAATGTGAAAATGATTTTAATGCCCAGTAACTTACCAAGTTTTGTAGCTCTATCTTGATTATTTTTTTTAGTATTTAACCCTTAGAGTGCCAGGTGAGAAATAAAAGTAACGCTCAAAAAATGCCGATGATTTTTCCCGAAGGTCGCGCTAAAAATGCTGAGCGCGATCTGGCGATTTTTAGGTTAAAATTTCGTAAAAATCGAATTTTCGATATTTCGACCAAACGATACTCGATGTATCGCATCTAGTAACATTCGACTCAATGTTAATATATGGGTTAAAAGAATCCGAGTATCCATTCGGTTGTTATGACAACTGTTCGATCATTACGAAACGTCCGGTCAGCCGGACGTTGGCACTTTTGGCTCGTTCTAAAAACGTCCGGTCGGCCGGACGTCGGCACTTTTGGCTCGTTTTAAAAACGTCCGGTTCCCCGGACGTTGGCACTCAAAGGGTTAACTGTCCCAGGACTTTTTCCACCTTGTATATCTATCAATTAAATCACTAATAAACTAATCAAAATGTTGTTATTTTAAAGAATTAGCTGAAATGTTCGTCAAAATTTATCTTAAGTTTTGAAATAAATTTTTAACTAAAATTTTTGTTTATATTTTCTCTAGCCTGCTTCCTACTCAGTAAAAACCTGAGTTTTTTGTATCTTTTTACTGCCTATTGTTTACAGTAGAGTCTATTATACGATTTTCAATGATCTAAACCTTCCATGTTGTATGTGGAGCATCGTAAGATTGCGTTATATCCTTTAGGTATGACTGTATATACCTTGGCAGGTGCGTGCTGCCCTCAACGGCTCTCTGTTTTACACAAGCACGTTACTGTACTTTCCCTTTGTTTATGTACACTGTATTCTACACAGTCTGTCAGTAAAACTCCCTGTATACATCTGCTACCCCTCACGTCGCGACCTGTGCCTAGCTGAAAGCACCTTTATCACTATATATTTTACTCTTTCAGTAATGGTATTTTTACTTTTTTGTTGATTCTCAACACTAAATGATGGCTTCTACATATTCTTATTATAATTTTTATATAATGTTAACATAATTATAAAACGCATGCTTCAAAAGATTCAATTCTTAAACATACTTTTTACATCAGTTATTTTATTCTCTGTTTTCTGAAATGTCTGATGGTATTTTTACCAATTCAACAACACATTCATCCCAGTCAATTCCTTATGACCAAGATGTGACTCTACTTTGAGAGAGCCTACCATCTAGATTGTGTAAAACAAGAAAAGATAAGGAAATGTAATGAACAACACCGTTTGTGGGCAACATGTAAGGCATTTAATTACCTTAGATTCCAAGCTCAGTAACAACGCAGTACACCGTGGTAGCGCGGACGATGGGAGAGTGTGTAGTGTGACGTCTAGTCACATTACACACACTTCACACTTCTAGACAGCTGCTAAGTATAGAAGCATCTAAGCTATTCTAAACGACACAGTGATCTAGATTTTTTACTCTCTGAGGATATCCATAATTAACTTATGTTTAGTTAATTGTGCGTTAATTCTACCATTTTTACATTTATTTCTAAGCTTGACAGTTTTACTGTAAGACTTACTGACACTTACAATAACATTTATTGTCAAACAGAAAGGTAAGCCGAAATTGCTGTCAAATTGGAAAGCAGAAAGTTGATCACAGAAGATACCCTCTTAACCAGTTGACGTTTAGATACGCATACTCTTTGAGGAAAGCTCAATTTAATAGACTATTACTCTTAACTCGTCAGGTTTTGCTTAGCACATATAATTGAAATTGGCTTCTGCCACTTTTTGACACATCTACACTTATGCCGTCAATATTTATACTATGGTAAATCCATACAATCAAATTTTAACAGTTCACTACAAATTTAGATATATCAAAAAGTGTTAAAAGACTTATTTTATTATATACGTACAACAGCACCATAATTTAAAATGCTAATCAAGAAATACTTGAAACAGATCAAACATTGCTTTCACTCAACAAAGTATAAACATAAACACACATAGCCTACTGCAAGTTATTTTTTTTTAAGAGTTTACCGGAACTTTGATTCAACTAACCAAACCGTTTTCCAGTCACGGTCTCGGTTCCTAAGTGGCCGGTTAAGAGGTTATCTATTGTAATTACTAAAACAAGCTCTAAATCAGGTATGAGTACTTAAATTTAGCTTACTAATTTAATTGCTGACTAATATTTTACATTGAAAATTATTTAACTCAATTGTTTCTAACTGAAGCATATATAGCTCACCATTTGTAAAGATTGGTATTGATCTATTTTGATCTAGATTTGTGAAAATGTCATTTTTTTAAGGTACTTTGAAATAGTTAAAATACTTTCCGTGATAGTAATGTCTAATGTCACAACATTATCATTATTAACTGGTTATGGTTAGTACAACTCTCTTTTCTAATGAACTGAAGTCTGATCAATGAATGATAAACTACATAAAGAAACACTTTTCAGAAAATTATGTAGTACCTTGTCGTCACACAAAGTAATTTAACTTTTATCACAACAATCTCAAAGTCCTACAAACTGATAAGTTTATTGTGAAAAACCAAAGGTTAGACAATTTGTCTATTTTAGTATTTTTCCATAAGGCCAATCACATAAAAATTCAGTAACAAGTGAGCTATACACATTGAAGATTTTTTTTCTTCCACAAACTTTAAAATCATCCTTCCCTACATACTTTTGTTAAATTTATAACAAAATATTACTTAACATAACAAAAGGAATTTCTTACATATTGGATGTACAAAGTATTATTTTTTTAAGAAGCAAACAGTGACATTTGATCAGTTATGGAGATTAGTGAAATGGTAGATCACAAGTTTCAAAGATGTATCAATATTAGTTTTGTTTTAGAAAATAGCCACAAGACATTCTTATATCGAGAATAGTTCAAGAATGTATTCAACTTCAACAACTTGCCTATTTTCTAAAAGGACAATCCTCTCCTATTCAAGGAAAATTACAAAAATACTTTTCCGTAAGTTTATAGATCACGATGAATGATATACAACAAGCGACATTGCCACAACAATACTATCTCTTTTTGTAAACCAGTATACAATAGGTCTATTTAAAAATGTATGAAAATACAATCTTTGAATTAAATATCTCAAACAAGAATCTGTATTATATACATTTAAAATACTCTAAAATATAATAATACTTATTTTACTAAACTTAGCCTAACCTCTTTAAAATGCTTATTCAGTGTCTTGTACTTAAATGTATTGTCTACTTGGAAGATGTTAGTCGAGCTAGATGATTACCGAGAGATATTTACCCTAGAATTTCTCGGAACAAGAAAAGAAATGCGGGGGATTTAAAATTAATCAGCATTTGTTACAATAACAACATAGTGCCAACCACACAACATTAACTAATGAGGAGGTACTAAGGGAGGGGGGGGGGGGAATAACATGTGTTTGGTGCCACCATTCAGCTGTAATTACCACTACTATACCAAGTGACTATGAGCTATTCTACAAAAACACACTTTTCTTTGGAATGTTATAGAGCAGTTGATAGACCAGATATCCTTGTTTGACTGATGGTGCCAAGGTGGTTTCAAACTCAACAAATTAGTCTGAAATTAATTAGAAAGAAGACAAAATTAGATTAAAATATTTGTATAAGTTAAAACTAAATTACTGGTATGATAATAAAAAAAAACAAATAAACATTTTTAGTGTTGAAAATAAATTCTATTACTTGTTGATGTGGGAATTTATTTTGGATACGATAACTTAACTATGAATAACAAGAAAGTAACCCAGAACCCAAATTTGTGATCTTCAACTGAGATATTTTTCTAAGACACTTTTCCATCCACACCTCTGTTAACCTGAGTCTATGCTGATGCTGATTATACATTTTGAATCAGAACTAACTTTTTTCTGCTGTAGTGGTTGCAGCTGATATTGAATGGTAGGACCATACACACTACACACCTCATTATTGTCAGGGCAGTCGCCCGCAAAGCTTCTATAGCACATATTATTGTCTTACATTACACTTAACCTAATCTAAGCTAATACGTTTACAAGCTTAGCTAATAGATTTATTCAATATAAATCGTGTATATGCAGTAATGTATAAATACTAGTGTAAATATATATCACAATTTATATTGATTTATTGATGTATACACAACCGTTTATACCATCTAAGTTCACTAAATTATTTGAGCTTTTGTAGTAATTTTTTTCTTTGTAAGAAATAAAGAGATCAGATAATATTCAAAATAATTTCCAAAGGCGTTTAGAATATACAAATACGATTACAAAATTCGACTCATCGACGAATGAATCGATTCTCATCATTGTCTAAGTAGGTGATATGCTGTCAGGTAGAAGAATATATCTTCCGATGTCGATCGGAGAAACGTAAATTTTGAGTAAATATATAGCGTCTACATACAAACACGAAAGACTTTGAGGAGCAGACTCATACTTACTATTGATTATTTACAGATTCATGATTGTATAGATTGTTTTATTCAATAATTAATTATCTTCTTTTCATTTTTTCTCCAGATATATATTCCATATTTACATGACAAGTAACAACCCTGAATTTAATATATAATTACTATATGATAACAACTATGTTAATGCTTTGTTTCTTAAGCAAATTACAAAAATGAAATTCTTGGTACAGATTGATATTTGGATAATTGACTACTTTAACCAATAATGATAGTATTATTGATCCTGAAATGTAAACCATCCATACAATCTCAACCTTAGTTGACTATTGAACCCTCCTTGGCTCACAATCACAGACTTACTAAACCTGGTTATGAGATTAAAAAATATCATGAAACAAAAATCAACTACTTCAGATTCTTTAACCTAACAAACAGTATCTGTTAGAACAAAAACAGTGTGCCCCACCCTGATTAAATCCAAGTCATAAGTGATTAGTAAACTGATGTAAAACATTTGACTTGGTTAATTGATATGAGTGTTTCAGAAGCTACTCTAAGGCTGACTTCAGTGAAGTGTTCAGTAAAAAAATATTTCAAAATGATAGATATGAATTTTACTTTATCTGCAAGTTTGAGTTTTTGTATCTAGAGAATTTGTACAAAAATTAGGAAGTAATCATCTTAATTAATAGTGTTGAGAAACTAATCAAAGTTGAACTATTTGGATATGTCTCAGTCCCTTAAGGGGATGTGGGTTATTTACTACTAATAATTCAGTTTTACTATTATAAAATACTTTAAAACACTCAAAAACCTCACACTGGTTAGACTTTACTGATATACAATTTTCACTTTGGGAAAGATATGTTTTTTAAAACTAACAACAGTAACAGATATGTATTTATAATGCATATATTCCGATTAAAACCCAAAACTTTTCATTTTAGTTATGATATTTCCTCTTTGGAGGTAAACCTTTTAAGTATATGACTTAAATGAAATTTGAAAAACCATTTTAGGTATTTGTTATCTAAAATTATTTAATCTATTGTTTATTTAAGTGAGTGGTGGTTCTATGAAGCACTAAGTAAGACTTAAGTCAAAATTCAAGTTCTATAGTTTGGCATGGGGAATTAAATGTCACTATTTTGTTGTGGATTTGACTTGGGAAACAGTGAATCCCTGACTACAATGCTGGTTTTTCAGTTACTTTGTATGTTTTCCAAGTACACATTCAATGTAGTGTGCTACTTTTTCACTAGCTGCTGTTTTTGCTTGTTACAATCACAAATGCCATTAGTAAAGCTAAATTTCAAATCACAATCCCTAACATTTTCTTACTGTAGAACAGTGACAAATAGAAATTGGTAAATAAATAGGTACTGATATAATTTTAAATTTAAAGTGATTGCTTGGTTTTAAACTTATAGAAATACTGTTCACTGTTCCAAGATAGTTTCCTGTTTAGATCTGACAAGCTTTGCCATAAATTATTCTATGTGATCTTTGGATCATTTACATTAGTTAAGCTGAAATTACTCCTATCACTAATATAGGCTATTAACCTTGTCTCAAAAGTTTCTTAGCCTGTTTATTCAGCACTACACATATGTGTCGCTGTATACAAGTGCCAAAACAATATGTAGTGAATAATCAGGCTAAGAAACTGTATTGACAAGGTAAATAGCCTATATCAGTCATATAACACATGCCAGGGGCTATATTTGATACATATCAATTTTTCTAGTCAAACATTCCTGTTGAACTCCCTGTATACCAGTTTTTACTAGTTACCACTAGTAAGTTTACTATCTTATCTGGGAATTTAATTTAGAGCTACTGCCTATACAAGTGAGGAAACCAGAGGTGCTTAAAACAGTTAATCAAATATGTCTTTGCTAGTAACTCAAAGTCACTCGACTACTACTTGACCGAACCGTTAGATCATGCATAGAGCACTCTCTGATTCCCTCACTTCTCTCAGACTACAACACAGTCAAAGCCTAAACATTATTTATCAGAGTAGAGCGCCATCTGCTGTTTGATCCACGGGACATAGCGAGGCACGTAGGCGTAGACGCCAGGCAGGTGTGGATGAGCACATTTAATGCCCCAGCTGACGATCCCTCCAACAAACCAGCGCGGAGAGCGATCATCCGTCATGCACAACAGTGGCCCGCCACTGTCTCCCTGCCAAGAAAAAGTTAACTTGACTATAAACAAAAGGATAGGCTTCAACAGTCAAAGAAAATTGTCAACAATTAGTCTTCAGGAGATGATCGCATTAGTTGAAATGGTGTAAATACTGATCCAGTAAAAGTTCACCGGTTCACCATTTCAATGGCTCAGTCATCTCCTAAAAACCAAGATTGGACATTGCTATAATCAATTTAGTACATCAGTAATAACGAGCAGAGCATAACACCAATACCACCATTGCAATGAATATTTTAACAAACAAATAACCAAAAGATTGCAAATTTTTACTGTGTAGCCTTAAGCACACATGGGAGAGGGATGATGAAGTATTGAAGAGAGAGTAGTGAGAAAAGACCAAATTAAAATATTATTACACAAGCTTTGCATGATTTAGACTCGTCAATGTATTTAAAATAAATGTATGTACAAAGGCTGAATAACTCTCAAATAATCATAAAATATGTAAACAACATTCAGAGAAATATTGCCTGCCAAAGTGTAAGTAGCCTGTATCCGCCGTTATCAGTAGACATCTAATCAGAGTCAAACAACACATTGAAGAAATAATAGACTTGATTGTATTTGCAATAAACAAGTAGCTCACACCATCCCAAAAGCCAACATTATGTTCTCAAGTTTTTCTATCACAACTTTATCAGGTTGGCTTCTCCACAGCTCCTAGTACTAGTTACTATAGCTTGCCCCCCTCAAAAAGTTTTCCCTTTGGGTGCTCTGGTCTGAAGCTGTATTGAAATGTGTATGTAAAAATGGTTTAAAATGTAGAACTAACTCAAATACACCACATTGGTACAACTGGAACATAAGTGTGTGTAAATGTGTTTAGTACCTGACAAGCATCTTTCCCTCCCTCTGCGTATCCAGCACAGATCATCCCTTGGGTGACGTTGAGGTCTCGATGCTCCAGCCAGCTGTTGCAGAGATCACGGTTCAGGATGGGGACTTGTACCTCATTGACTGCTGCTTCATACTCTGATACTGACACAGGAATATGATCAAAGGCTAGGTTAGTGTTGTTCAAAGGTTTATTGCGGACATTTTCCATCACGATGGTAAAAAACAATACACAAAGCTTCGGGACCTGGATCTGATCCCGATCTGATTTGGTTTCTGATGACTCGGTCTGGTGAGTTAGGTTTTGGTAACTTTACAGGTCCTTGCATTACAGGTTTTTTTGGTCATTAATTATTACCAATTGAGACATGGATGCAACGGGACATATTTTTACCCAAATATGAGTGAAGGATGAATGCAGAATGGAATGATTTGCCTTGTGCAAAATTATGACCTTGTTGTAGATTAAAGGTTACAGAGAAAATATAAAAAAAAACTGTATATTTAAAAATCCCATGTTATTCTTATGGAGAAAATATAAAGTAAATCATTGTAGTTTGCTTGTTTATGGCTATCTTTTGATCAAATATAGCAGATTTATTCATTTCATACTATACCATTAACATGAAAAAACACTGTTTTCCTTCCCTGCAGCAGCAAACTTCTTTTTGAACCTAATGTTATTTAAATATGGAATAAATCGACATGTTAAAGGAAATATTTGAGTAAAAATTTGAATGGTGATTTGCTTAGTCTGCAGGTTTCCTGCGGCAGGGGTATTAATAAATAGTCCTAGCTGAATAATCAGCTGATCTTAGTTTGTTCCAACCTTTCAGACTTTGACTAAAGGCATAGATTTACACAAGTATCTCGCTGCTCTCGGTGGAGTGAGTTAAGTAAAACTCACCATCGCTATCTTCTCTCTTTCCCCAGCCAATGACAGTGCACATCCGACCCTCCTTCAGCTTAAAGTTGGCCTCTGGAAGGCAAACGGGCAGCAAATGCTCGTGAAATGTCACCCTCGTTGCCAACTAGAAAAAATGATAAATATTAAACTTGCAATCATATTTTTTGTTCCTAACTTGGAAATTGTTATATGTTATTGTTTTCGTATAAATTGCTAGTGTTCATTCTGATAGCCCTGTGACGCTTGCGTCACAGCGGCGACACATCAGACGGTAAAATTCAGCTGATTGCTGGAGAACGGGGGAGGGGGTAGGAAGCGCAGAGACAGAGTAGAGTCGTGTTCCGAGTGTAGGCGCCATGGTCAAGGCTGGACTCCATCGCTGAATTGATAAGTTTTCCTTAGTCTAAGATATTTAAGAATATGTTCTAACTTTTCAGTAAAAGGGGGGATTAAGGGGTTAGGGAACTATAAATTATTTCAGCTTAGTATGAAAATTATACTTTAGAGCACACTCGCACCCATAAGGTACGAGTGGAAGTTTTCATTGTTCTTTTCCTTATTATATTAGTAATGAGATGCATTAATAATATTAGATCATCAAAATGGCTGTGATATGGATGTGGTTTGGCTCAGTAATTAATTTAAGATCATTATTATTCAACTCAGCATGTCGCTAGCAACACTAGATTGATAAGGCCTAAGGAAATTGAAAAACATCTATCTTTAGGTGGTAAAATATATCCGTAAAAATTATCAGAAAGATAATGTCATCATTCAAATACAGACACACCTGAAACAATGCCACGTCATTGTCATGAGCAATGCCTTGATTGTACATGGGATGAGGTACGACTCTCTTGACCTTCATTTTCTGGCCGAAGTAAGAGTGAGCGTGTCTCCTGGTGATACCGAGCTGGATGGTCCAGCCTGATAAGTCTCCTTGGGTGAAACTGTACAAAGAAATTAATCATTTCAGTTAGAACAGCAGCATCTCCTTAGTGGGAAATCTTGACTTAGAAAAAAAACTTGCACAATACTAAAAAGTTATAATATTTTACCATTGTAGACTTCCCATCTATATGGACCAGCTGTAGCCAATTTTTTATTTAATAAGAATGTAGTTGTGTGAGCCAGTCACAGAATGTGCTAGTGTCTAAAATTCTATTTTATACCCTATTTTTTGTTGCTGACCAGGTTGATGGGTCATAACATTTGCTATAACTCATCATAAGTCATTCCCTAAGTTTTACTTGGCTAAAAAGATTGTATATTCGCCTATTCGGCAGAATTTAGTAATTTAGATCAGCGCAATCTGTAGGTGGCTCACATCAACTACTACAATTTTGCTAAAAAAGCTGGCTACAAATTTAACATGGGGATGGAATGTTTAACATGTGGAATGGGGAAGGCAATGTTTTACCTTACCCAGATGCAAGTGTCTGTGCTATGGCTTCTGTTGTGAGTGCTGATGTTGGTCAAAATCAGAATGAGGTGCCCTCATCTTTAAACTCAAAAATCAGCCAATTATTGGATCCAATGTAAAAAAAATAGTAATACAACTCACTGTTTTCAGACATCTATTGTAAATAATATTTTTTGTAGTAGGGTAGAAAGTACTTTTAACAATGAGAATTCTTTATTGAAACTTCAGAGATCAGTTCATGATATGTTTATGCATATGAACATTCAAGGCTTAAATCCAGGTAAAGTGGCTGATTTAAATATGTTTCTATCACAGTTTGGACATAAAATAAAGATTTTTGCACTAAATGAGCATTGGATCAATGAGGACTCATTTAATATTTTTAACACCTTTGATAATTTTAATTTGGGAAATGTATTTATAAGAAAAAATAATAAAAAAAGAGGAGGTTCTTGTATATTAGTGCATAAAGAATTTAACTTTAAAACAAGAGCAGACCTGGAAGTATTAAATGAGGATTTCATTTTTGAAGGTTCATTTGTTGAAATTGTGGAAATGAATTTACTAGTGGTATCAATTTATACAGTTCCAGAATATAACATAAGAAAGCTTTTCCTCACTAAACTAGAACTTTTAATGAATCAATTAAAAAATGAAAACAAAACTAAATCTATCATACTGGCCTCTGATTTCAATATAGATATTCTCAAAAGTAACAACTTAATTTCAAAATTCTATGATATTATTGAATGTAATGGATTTAATCTAAACTTCAATGAACCTACAAGAATATCAGGTAACTCTCGTACTTGCATTGATAACATTGCGACTCAAACAAAACTCAAGGTTATCTGTAAATATAATATTGGTCTTTGTGTATCTGACCATAATGCACCGTTTATAAATCTACCTAACAAATTGATAAAATGACAACAACAAAAAGGTTTTTTATAAAAGAACTTTTAGTGAAAATGCTATGAACGAATATGTAAAAACTTTTGAAATTGACAAAAGTCAATTATGTTTGGATAATTGTAATGTTAATGATAGTTACAACCATTTTTTGAGGTATTTTATAGGGCAGTTGAATCATTATTTCCCACTAAAGGCTGTAAAAAAGAAATCTAAGGTAAAAACTGTTATATTGGATTGGGTAACAACAGGTATCAAGGTTTCTAGCAAAAGAAAGCGTGAGTTGCATTGGCAAGCCAAAACCAGTACAGACCCAATTTTTCTTAACTATGTAAAGTCTTATAAAAAGATATTTCGTAAAGTTGTAAACAGTTCTAAAAAAAAGGTCTAACAGCAAATATATAAATAATGCATTTAATAAACCAAAAGCAATGTGGAAGGTTGTAAATAACGAATTAGGCATTAGAAAAGAGGATAGTTGTGGCAATCATATTTCATTAAAAGTCTCTAATAATGAATTAATTGAAGACCAAAATGTTGTTGCCAAAACTTTTAATTCTTTTTTTTGAATGTTGTTAATAGCTTAAATTTGCCAAATCCTATTGTAAAGGGTGTCCATCCAAATATGAAAATATCTGTGGATATAAAGGGGTGTTCACTGTACAACTTTGAACCAACCAACAAAAATGAAATTTAAAAAATAATACTTTCTTTGAAAAATAAGACATCGGTGGGTTGGGATGAAGTTCCCATTTCACTCATCAAAGCAGTAGCAAATAAATTTGCTGAACCCCTCTCAGATATAATTAATAAATGTTTTGAATGTGGTATTTTCCCGGAAAAATTGAAATACTCTCATATTACTCCGATATACAAAAAAGGGGCCAGAACGGATATAAATAACTACCGCCCAATATCTGTTTTAAGTAATTTTTCAAAGATATTTGAAAAAGTTATCAATTTCCGGCTAGTAAACTATTTTAACAGCAATGATTTGTTTTATGAAAAACTGTTTGGGTTTAGAAAGTCATTCAGCACCAACAGTGCACTGATTGAATTTATCAATGATGTTACAAAGGCTTTGGACAGGTCTGAAACTACTGCTGGTGTTTTCTGTGACCTGTCTAAAGCCTTTGATTGTGTGGATCATTCAATTTTGCTTTCTAAATTAAAAGACTATGGTATAAAGGGTAAAAGTTTTTCTTTATTAGACTCTTATTTACAGAACAGAAAGTATAGAACAATAGTGACCAAAAACGGTGTGAAACATATGTCAAACTGGAATTTATCTAATTATGGTGTACCTCAAGGGTCAATATTGGGCCCTCTGTTTTTCCTGATCTTTATTAATGACCTTCCAAAAGCTATTGGCAGAGATTTAATCTTATTTGCTGATGATACAACAGCAATCATAAGAGAGGATTCAGTAAATAACTTAATTGTATCAATAGAAAACACTTTGGATTGTATGAAAAATTGGTTTACAGATAATGGTTTAAAGCTGAATATTGACAAAACTCATATAATTAAATTTTCTTTAAAAAACAATGTAATTCTTGATAAAATTCCAAATTTAGTAGAATCTCATAGATTTTTGGGTGTATTGCTTGATACTCATATTAATTGGAAGAATCACATAGATAAGATGAAAGGCAAACTAAGATCTATTTCTTTTGCTTTCTTTCACCTGATAAACTGTGTACCCCAGGATACATGTATCACAGTTTACTATGGATACGTTGAATCCATCTTGAGGTATGGAATCATACTGAGGGGAGTGTCAACAGATGTCAAATCCCTACTAATTTTACAGAAAATAATTATTAGAATATTAACCAAATCAAGAAGGAGAAAATCATGTAAAAACCTGTTTAAAAATCTTAGAATTCACACCATTTTTGGATTATACATAAATGAAATTCTAAATTGGATACATAACACTAAGGAAAATTTGTCAGATGTAGTCAAATTTACACATAATTATAATACAAGGAATAAATATAATTTTAGATTACCACATCACAAATTGACGACTTTTAGGAACAGCCCTCAATATATGGGACTTAGATTGTACAATGAATTACCCCTGTATCTTAAAAATTTAAATGCTACTCAATTCAAAGATAAAATAAAAGATAAAATAATTGAGAAAGCCTACTATTCACTTGAAGAATTTTTGGAGAACCCTATAATGTAGATAAAAATTCTCTGATATCCTACATGAGTTTATTTTAATTATTTTAACTATTAATTTTACTATAAAATACATCACTATGACGAAACACCTGTTCTTATGTATGAAATGTACTTTATAAAGAACGTTATGTGTAAATAAAATATGTCTTATGTCTTATGTCTTATGTCTTATGTCTTATGTCTTATGTGAATGTCTAACTGTATTGACAGAAGTTTCAACCGAGGATGGTTTATACAAAAAATACAAAGGGTGGAGGGGTGTGGTTTATGAGAGTTAAAGATTACTTCAGGTCCACAAGCATGGCCCACTGCGGTCCACGTGGTGATGCATTGAATGTACTTTTATGATACAAAATGACTATAACCCCAAGGAATTTGATTTGTGTGTATCAAAGTATCAAATTTATGATATAACACCCTTGCCCACATACTTGATTTATATCTATCAAAGTATTTGATTACTCACTTGCCAACGCAATGTGAAGCTGTGAGTACCCACTGGTCCGAGATGAGGACACCAGCGCAATAGAAGATCTGCTCGGGCCCGCCGAGTAGCGCTGCAAGGAACGGCCAATCACCAGGGTTGGCCTCCGTCCCTCCCACGATACGCAGCTGCTTCTTCTCTTGAAACAGCTGGTGTCTCAAACCACACGCTGTCAACACCACAATTTGTCAGAGGAATTTCAAGCTGATAAGAATTTGGTATTGTTTTTTAAAATTGATTGAAATATCCACGCTATTCATGTGTAAACATTCTACCAAGTTTTAGAATAAAAATTAATGTAGGTTAAACTAAAGATGAATTTTGAGGACAGCGTACTTCATCGTACGAAAAACCCCCATGAAAGGAAATATTATTTTGCTGACTGCTAAATAATATTTATCTAGCTTGTTAAAATATATTATTGTACTTACTAAAACTAGAACAGCCTAGTTCTATCGGGGCAAAGTTTTCAGTGTTGCAATCACGAAGTTCTTTGAGAAGATTGAGATTTCTTTTTGGCACTGAATACCTCTTAAGCGTGTGGCTTGAATATTTTATAGTATGTTTGGAGCCGATGGATCCTTTGATTGTAAGGTTGCTGGACGTTACATTCCTAGAAATGACCAAAGAAAAAAAAAACTATAGAGATATACAGTATAGTTGATTTTAAAAATGCAAACAATCTATTTTCAAATTAGCAATGGGTTTTGTACCTATTGTATCTGCGCATTCTTGTTTACTTTATAAATGCTTATACAGGGTGCGCCAATATAGCCTGACGGTTTTTAATACTAAATAACTCAAGAACAAAATAAAATGTTATGTGTTAAATAATGTTATATTGTACACACTACTATGCCATTTTCATTTATGAAAAATTATATCACTTAGGTGATGACCTTTTCCTAAACGCAGGTTTCCCATTTTTTTCATATTTGCAGTCACCTTTGCCTAAGGAATAGAATCAATGTCTTCCGGATCACTGATTGTGTTCAGGGATGGTTCGAAATTTCGAAACAAACACTTTGCTTTTTAAGTATCCCCACAGCCAACAGTCACACGAAATTAAGTCTGGGGATCAAGCTCACATCACCAAACAAGGAGATCAATTTACCGGGAAAGATTTCACGCAAAACTGTCACTGATTGGCTGTTTGACAAGTTGCGTCGTCCGGTTGAAACCATGTGTTGGTCATGTCTATCCCTACTAGCAATCACAGTTATGGAACCAAAAACCCTTTCAGTATTTCCACATAGCGTTCCGAGTTTGCAGTGACGGTGTTCCCCCTTTCGTTCTCGAAAACATATGGTACGATGACTCCAAACCGTGCTACACCACACTAGACAGTAACTTTCTTTTGACGAAGTAATGTTTCACCAAACATAACCTAAAAATGGTATATGTGTCGGATATATTTAGTTACATAAGCAATCGTTCACTACAACAATGAGGTATCTAGCTTGTATAACAGCTGACTTATTACAAAACAGAAACCGTCAGGTTTTTTTGCTCACCCTTTATTTTGATGTTCATTCTTCATAACTTTATCACAGTCAATTAATAATATTTATTTTATTTTCATTCCAAGTATAATGATTTATTTTCAATAATTAAAAGACTATATTAAAACAGAAACCAATTTAAAAGAATGTATACAGTACAAAAACTTAGAAATCCAAAGGATATTAGAGTAACAGACTAAAAACATCCTTTACAAAACTATCAGTTACGCAAGCATAAACAAGAGAAACTCTGATTTAATATGCAAATTATTCATAATTTAATAAAAACAGTTCTCTGTATCAGATGACTTTGGGGGGGAGGGTTTGTGTTCATGAGAGGGGCATGATCAAACATAATTACGAAAACCGCCACATATCAGAGATCCATATTTAGTGGGAGGGATAAAGAGCCGGATGTTTTGTTGATATTACACATTTTTAGGGAAAAAAAGAAAACGCAATATTAAAAAAGGATGTTGAGAAATCTTCTCAAAGACAAAAAAGAGCTGGTAGGCTCAAAGCAAGAGAAGATACCCAGGTTTGCAGGAACATGAGGAAGTTTGGAATGAAGGATGTTATGAACCAAGCCTACAAGATTGTTGATGAAGCCAAGTATCGACTGGGGTACAAGTGGCTACATAATAAGTTAAGTATGAAAAGGGGGACATCATAAAAAAATACAAAATGGGCATAGCAAAACCAGTGAATATGGGGCTCAAAAGGGTAAGCACTTGTCCACATAACCACCTCACCTGTATCCCAACATGGAACAGATGGCCCGAGGAGTCGCAGGGTCCCACGTCGAGGTACACGCAGGCTTCCAACTCTGCAAATGGGGCTGAAACACTTCCAACTTGCCTTTGCCCTCGTCCCCCATCCTCTCACTCAGTCTTACTGCAATCGAGGGATTAAATCAGTACAATTTATATACTTCCCACACACACAGCACAGATATACAACAGATGAAATTGTCAAAATAAAATAAACTAAATAGTAAAAGTAGTAAACAATTGAACAAAACTACACCTTCTATTCCTATATTAAATGTTATGCTATTTTTTTAGTTGTTGTCCATCTGAGCTAGTAAATTGCTGATTTCTCAGAATTAAAGCTTAATTTCTAAAAAAACTGAAACCCTAAACTAAAATTATGGCTTGACATTCCCTAGTTCCTAAAATTAGCTTTCTTTTAACACAAAAACCATGAAAATCCAACAAGCGGTTGATACAGAATCGTGAAATAAACAAACCCTGTAACGTTTTAATATGATGTTTTTATGTACGATGGTCTCTTTTCCTTTGATAATTTAAAACCAGCACAATACATAAAAAAATTCTCACTAAACAATTTTGAACGACAAGTTTGATATAACTTTATACGATGTTACGGAAGAATCAACTTATACGTATGAACTTAACCATGCAAAAGTTTTATACAATTATTTTAATTGTTTAAAATTCTTAAATAAGTTTCAACTTTGATTACACTTTTTTTGTTGTTTTACACTGTTATACATCTAAAAGCCCTCTTTCTGGATACGGCACCTTTTTTGTTTAGTTTAATTTGTTTAGTATGAAACAAGTTTAGATTATTTTCTATGAATATGATATTGCTTATATAGTTTGTGCGAAAGAAAAAAGGAAGTGTTAAGTGTTAACAGATTCTGTGTGATTGTGCTCAACCCATGCAATTGTGCCAACACTCACAAGCGTGTGATAATTAGCGGTGATATTGGTGCACAGTATTCAAATCCTTGGCATTTTGGAGATAATATTTATGGTTACCTCATAAAACTAGGTTAGGTCTAGAAGGGTGCTGTATTATCCCTTCGTGTTATGGATGATTCGGCCATATTTTTAAACCCCCTATAAGTATAATTCAAGATTTTGATAAGACGAGTTAATTAAATCAATACACAGGTGTGTGGTTAACAATTTATTGTATATATTACATAAATTGGACAGTTACACTATTCTATTTCAAAAGATTAAAATAATTCTTTCATGGTTACTATAATTTTGCCACACACTCCTTTGGCGTAATTGAAACCATTGATTGTGCACCGGTCAGAGACAAATTGATACTTAAATGTTGTTGATAGGTTGTCTGAATCTGTCAAATAACCTTGATTGAGATGAGTTATTTGTGAATTGCACATCCCACCATCGGTTATTTAGTTTTAACTTATTAAACATGTTCAGTTTTGGTATGTTTTAAACATTTGTTTCAATCCCATTAAAAGTTTATTGATAGTCAATAGCAAAAAATCTGTTGTTTTTGTCCCATCTTCACATCCTAGAACGCTAGGTTCTGTTTGACACATTACTTCAGGCTAGTCCTAGAGGGTCGCGGCATTATCACATAAGGATAGAAACTATGGTGATTGGCTAGATTTGATCCCGGGACCTCGGGATCTGAAGCCCCGTGAGGATCATACAACGGTGAAGTGTTTGTACAATATAAATGCCAGTTTATAGCCAACTGAGCAATACACTCGTTCTAAGACCTCTGGCAATGCTTGTGTTACAAACCAACAAAACAACCATCACCAAGTAAACAACCATCTACTTTATAGCTAAAGTCTTAGTGAAAATAAAATCAACACTTAGATAAAAACACTGTGATCTGAACAAATGTGCCTGTGAAACATGCTGCGAGACCCTGTGCAAAAGTGATCAAATTAAATGTGCAGTAACATAACATTTCTTCCTTGTCAGTTACCTATGGATATCCAAAGTGGGAATCTTTTCACTCATGAGTTCCTGCAAGTTACAGTTTTTAAATAATAAAATAACATACACCTAAACATAATAAAAATACTCACAGCTACACAAATGTTTCAAAATTCTGACTTTTTAGAAGTGCTTAGACAGTATTGCTGTAACTCATTAGTATTAAAAAAAAAAAAAAAATAAGTAGCACAATTGTATCAATGTTCAGTTTTACAAGATATACCGAACTTGTGTTCTTTCACTGACCATAATGGATACAAACTAACTCCCTCAGCTACCGTACAAAAGATTATATATCAAACGCAAGATAAATGTAACCAAACTTACACACTTGACATGTGCTGTTCCTTGGAGTCCAGTTTAAAACTATCACACTTAGGGCTTTCAATTAAGGTGGTACGGTAGACTTAATTTCCTCATAGTTTTTCATAACATTTTAATAATTATATAGTATAAATTAACGCAATTTCTAAGGCACAGATTTTGTGAGGGAATGGTCAGAAAAAATGTCACTGGTCTCCAAGAGTGGTATGAATTTTACAGGCATACACAGTTGATTTAGTTAATTAAGATGGATGTATTTTTTGTAAGTTGAACCTCAAATTGAGCATTTTATTTTTGCTCACTGTGTGTGTGTCCACACCAAACTTGTAAAACAAATTAATTTCCATTATTATTTTTCGTAAAATAAAAATAAAAATAGACTTATTTAAATCACTGAACGATCCCTGGAGCTCAAAGGGTTCTAGAATTCTTCTGTTTATTTTAAAAACTCACTCTGTAAGTGTCAACGGGTCAACTGATACTTACTGCAATTCCTCTCGTCTTGGCCCCAGGGGCAGTCTTTGATTCCGTCACACATGTGCGACTGGTCCATGCATCTCCGTGATCCGCAGTGAATCATCCCTGCAGAAACATAACCGTTGACTTTCTTGCAAAGTAAGTATTACAGTACCAATGAGGGAATTGATCAATGCTGAGTAAGTCAGTGGCTATAAGTAACTGGATCAAGCTGTCATTGGATCACTATGGGATTTTTATGACTGATTCAAGATGAAAAAAATCTGATTTGAGGCAATCTACTTGTATATATTATCTGACTCCATTTTATACTCAAGCTGCATTATTTATATTTAGCTTAAAAGTTAAAACATGCTTGAGCAGTACGTTGCTATTAAAAAAAATTGAAGTAGTAAAGAGTGTTGTATGTATTTATTGGTTTCCTAATTCAATCAGTGCTTTTGAGGGTGCGCTATACCTGTACACCGAACGCTAATGCAAGGGTTTAGGATCTCCGTCATTGTCGGCTCATTTGAAAATATGTGTATGTTAATTTGTTCATTTCATATTTTTGTAGGCTTATATCGTTTTAATTTTTTGGCAATAGTAGAATTTGAAGTGGGAAGTGACTGGTAAATACCTATAAATAAGCTTTATTCTAAAGCATTTTTCTAAAGCACATACAAATTAATTTTTAGAAGAAAATTAAAACGAATCGATCTATCAATGAGTCATAGATTTTTATCTAACGAGTAAGAAACCCTAATCAGGCGATAAAATTTTTTTAAAGTAACTGAGTAATTTGAGAGGATTTAAACGTCTGCAAGCGCTTCTCGTTGTGCTATTCAATGGCGCAACATAACTACTGAAGCTCGAGATGAGATTTCCGAGCTGAGGTAGAGCGCTTAACAGTCGAATTCCATCAATAACACTATATAGCTGGGATTTCCTGGGCGTGTAAGTGAAACGCAGAGGGGAAAGCGATTCTAGTGGCGGTTCGCTCCGCTTTAAGAAAAAGACTAACTATACCAAATTACCTAAGACAAGAGGAGAACCGACTCTGCTCTCTGCTTTCCATGCTCCCCTTTGGCACCCAGGAAACCCCAGCTTATTTAGCTAACTGCAGCTGGTACATTTTAAAAAATGAGTAGAAATAGTTTATTTTGGTTTGCATGGACCGAAAACACAAGTTATAATAATTCTAGTTGTGATTGTTTAGCTAGAAATCTAGTTGTATACATCTGGATTTTGTATCGTTGATCTGATGTAGAGGGTTACCGAAGGAAGTATCAGCACTTGTTCGCCCCCAGGAGGGGTTTATTGGAAAGTCATAGTGACAAAATTTGTTTGTTTGAAAACTGGTTGGCAGCTTCTTTTAACCTGCAAATATAAATCTAAATTGTTCTCAAAGGACTGAAGTACTGTGTATGGAATATAAGCAAAACACGAGGTAAGCAGGTGCAGCGCATGACTCAAATGTGCTGATAAATTTCAAGTAAAAGCATCAGGAAGTGACCCTTTTGACATCGCTTCTTTTGTTTCACAGTTTATTGTTATAGCGACAAATTAATTTGCAAGGTAAGGGTTAAGAGGTAATGTCTCTGGTTTCACTTACCCTTGGCACATTGATGGCAGTTGAGTTCATCCGACTGATCCTCACAGTCCACGTGTCCGTCACACTTCCAGTCTGCGGGGATACAACGCTTCACATCGCATTGGAACCCAGACAGGCACACTGTGAACACGTTACATAACCCTTCAATGTATGAATTTTAACATATATTCATCTGTTTTTTCGTTCTTTTTGTATTACAAAACCATTCATAGAATCCCTAAAAATTCTTGGAAATTGTTCTACTAGATAGATTTCTGGGTAAAACATTGATATCCGACTCCATCAGAATCACTGATTGTTACGGTCTTGTTTTCGGTTAAGATAAGTTTGGTTATCAATTGAATCGATAGTTTTATGTTTAATAATACGATAGAGTTGGATATCAAAGTTTTGCCGGTTTCTGTCTTATAACCATTTTAATGCCAACCTTTAGGGCTCTGTTCTCCTGAGTCCTTCTTTAAAAGTTAGTGTGTTACGCTTATGAGAGTCAGTCTTTCATTAGTTTTAATTGAATCAACAAGAAAATTACAATGGTGACATCTTTTAGATTGGATCTATGAATAAAATATTCATGCTATGATGATTTTATAAATTATGAAGATACCCAATGATTAATCTATATAAATTACAATTCTAAATTATTTTGTAGCCACTTTGAAAGACTTTTTTAAATAATAGGCTAATTTACATTCCAGAGCATGGGTTAAGCCCTTAACTTGATAAAAAACATTGAAAAGTGGTGAGTTAACAGGGGTATTAAAAAAACAAATTCTACCTATAGATAACTTATGCTTTCTGTATTCAAGGGTGTGTCACTGTATTAAATAAATAAATTGATTGACATCAATCGTATAATGTGTCATTCAATACGGTACTAATTATTCATCAAATTACTCATTTTACTTTTTTTATCTGTTTTTTTCCAAGATGATAAATTTATGTTACTAGCGTTTTCTTGAGTACTATAGTACTGAAAAATGTTCATTCTATAAATGACTTAACTTCCATTTCCTTTGTATTCTCCTCGTACATTTTCTGGGATTCCACCAAACCTCACCTGGTTTCTGAGCACGCTTTTCAGCTTCAACGACCTCCTTATTTCCCACGCAGACATCCGCATCTTCTGAGTCAGGGAACAAGTCACAATCGAGGTAGTCCGGCAAAGACAGACCAAACACATCAAGAAAGAACCCACACCTTCTCTTGGTTTCTGAAACACAAAGTTGTCGTTGTCATTTTACTATTGATTTAATATTAAATTAAGTGTGACGTTTTCTTATTGATAAACGTTCTCTGTTTACTTATAGACATAATAGACCCTGAGTTAAAAACTTTTGGTTATGCATGGCTGTTAAATAAGCGTATTAAAGCTATTAAAATTAATATTATCAGTAAGAACAACCATAGTGCAGTTCTATTTTAAAAATACTCGTATTGACAATGACTGATGCATTCAACACTTAGGTCTCTAGTATAGGTATATTTTTGAAACTAGGATACATTTTCAAATTAAAGTATGAGTTGTCAGATATAAATATTAAAAAAATATATTCCAAAAATATTTCAATTGCCAAAAATATTTAAGCTTTATCTGAAATTAATGAGAGGACAAAATTAATCTTGAGCTGTTCCCAAAAATTACTATAATGGGTTGTCTCAGATTTCAACTTAGGGGATAAAATTTATTTAAAAATAGTCTTATAATGTAAGATAATTATTGGTTTATCACTTTCTGCAGGGATTAAAGTTATTTGATGCATATTATTAAGTAACACTGAACACTTGTAGCACTTACCAGCACACAAATTTTTACAAGGGCGAACCAGTTGTCCTGTAGGTCCACACTTTGGCACAAAAACTGAACACAAAAACAATGCAGCCAACTCGTAACATCTGACGTCCTCCACCGCATCGTAAACTTCCAGTTCCTAGAAAACAAAATCGAAATTATCATCAATTGTCAGGATGTAATATATGTTTCGCAACTGACAAAACTGGGAAATAATCTATCAGTTATCAGCAGGCACAAATATATTTTTATTTTTATTTACTAAGAAATGTCATATTTACTGTTTTTTGAACCCAGTGACAAGACCTGTATTATACAGTAATTATTTACATATTTTGCCTGAAGGTCTTGTAGTTAACACTCGATGCGCATTTCGCCGCTCAGTGCGGCATCTTCATAGAGTATCTTCTTAAACACTACTGTTACTATGTACATATTTACAATATATTTTCCAATCACTAACCGGTCACATTCGCGGTCGCGGTTGCCCGGCACTCGTGTCGCCGCCGGGCAACCGGGACCTCGAATGTGACCGGTTAGTGATTGGAAAATATATTGTAAATATGTACATAGTAACAGTAGTGTTTAAGAAGATACTCTATGAAGATGCCGCACTGAGCGGCGAAATGCGCATCGAGTGTTAATCGAGTGTTAACTACAAGACCTTCAGGCAAAATAGGTAAATAATTACTGTCATATTTACCTGCTGAGCATCACGCTGCGTGAAGTGACCAATGTAGTTGGGAAACATTGTGTAGTTGTAGGGAATTTTGTGTTGCAGGCAAAATGTGACTATCACTGGTAAACAAATCCCTGGAACATCAACCATCAACTATAAACTCACTGCAGGAATCTTAAAACAACTTAAGATATAAACCCACTAAGTAGAAACAAACACACCTCATGCATAAACACACACAAGAGATTTACACATCTCGGTGATATATAAACATGTATCAGATTTAATAACAAACACACATCAGGGATATAAGTATGCACAAGAGATTATGTTAACATTGTTAACACACTTATGAGAAGGGACATATAACAGTCCATTTTCTAATCTGCAAGTAGCAGGGTATGAACGATAAAATAGGCTGGGAAATAAATAATTTGAACTAAATAAATAATATGTTTTAACAAAATCTGTCTCTAAATAAGAAATGTCAATTCTCGCTGCATACCTAATAGTTAAGTAAGTACTTTTTCGACACTTTGACTAGAGGGTAGACTCACCAGGAGCAGGATTAACATCCTCTGGAGGTTTGACTGCAATGGAGGGTTCCGTGATGGTCCTATTGATGTATCGCACTGCTGAGGGGTAAGCTGCAACAATATATTGTATCAACATCTATACCAAAACCAGATCATCTCAGCTTTAGATTAAAAGGGAATAACTATACAGTTTTATCATTTGATCTAAATAGTTTTTAATAAAAATTCTTATCACACTTGCTAGCCTATCATAGGGAAAGTCATGGAGCTCAAGAGCTATGATTAGTTATGCCAGTTCGATCCTGAGTAAAGTCAATACATGTACAATACTGTTTTAACTAGATTCTGCGGCCCTTGATCATTGGACTTTTCATAACTATGGCTACATGATTAAAGAACAAGCTGATCTTACACAATTACAAAGCTACATGGACTACATTATCTACACCATTTTACATCCATCGTATTGTATTCAGCACCCAAGTGTGCGTACTCGTCTTAAAAAAAAAAAAAACTCCATCTTTAATTGATGGAATTTTAAAAGCAATACAATAATTTTAGGGAAAATTAAATCCAATAAATCCAGAACTGTACTATAATTTACCGTTTACCTTGAAAGTAGGCAGCCAATCCCCCGGCAATGGCTAGTAGAGCAACTGCATTGAGAATAACCTGAGCAAACTGAAACCTCAGCCTTCCCCTAGTGATGTAGTGTGTTGACGGTCTCCGAATGTCATTTATAATCTGTAATTCATAGCTTACATCAGACAGTTCCATCTTTGACTACGAATGAAAGTAGACACTCCATTCCTATTTAATGTGGTTGTCAAGTTAAGAAATGAACATACTGTAGTTTAATTGAATTGAAGCACTGATATCAATAACTGATTCCTACCTATCAAATTTGTTAACTTTAAACCAAGCCAACCAGAAGAAAAAATGTTGTAAGCTTTAGCATCTCTCGTGTCACATCAGCTACCTTAGTAAAAAAACATCAAGAGAGAAGATATAGGCCTACATTTGAAAGAAACTCAATCAGTTCAACTATTGAATATAAATTGGCTACAGGGGACACATGTAAATGGTATATGTTTACCCTGGTGTCTAAAAGTCAATGGTGCTATCAGTGCTATCACAACAAACTGAGCTTAAAACAGGTTATTGAAAGTTCACTGTCATTATAATAAAGCTAAAGTATTTTTGTACAAAATAGCTATGATGAAATATGAGTTTTGTCTCTTGGCCTAGAACGCCTCTAGTTTGTGTTATTTCCATACAGTGTAGATGCTAGTTGCCTCAGGGTACTTATGTGTCTAAAAACTCATGGGACAAACATTGTGTACAGACTCACCCTGTGGTGGATGGACATGTTAGAGCCGTGATGGAAGCGGACAATGGCTTGGAGACTCGCAGGTGTCGAGTGACTCTTGGTCAGAGCGTTGTTAGCATCATCAAGCGTCGCAGATTCTAGTCCGCTCACTGCCTCGTCACTGTCTCCTCCTCTCATTTCTGCGCCGCGACGTTCATTGGTAATGCGTCGGCTCTTCTTGCCGCACTGCGCCAACAATGGTGTTTCCATACTCTTAGTCGTGTAGCTAGGGGATGAGTTTTGGCTGAAACTGTCGCTGGAAACATTAGAATCTTGTCTCATAGAGATTTTACCGGCACTACCGTTGAGTCCCTCGTTTTGCATCAGTATGTGAGAAAGCTGTTTGTCTTCGTCGGGTTGAGTCTGCAGCGGAGGTGGCTTGAAGGTTTTCTTTCTCGGAGATTCTGGAGGGTCGTACTTCTTGTAGCTCGGTGCCTGGGGCCGAGGAGGGGGTTGCTTTTCATTTTCTACAGGCGGTTTTTGGGATTGTCTTCGTTCTAAGTCAGTTAATGAACTAGATATATTCCGAGGTTGAGCATTATTCAGTATAGAAGACTGTTGAGCTTTAGATCTAGGCGGGGTAGGGGGTGGACCAATCCTGGTTCTAGGGGGAGGAGGTGGGGCTGTGGATGGGGGAGGGGGAAGAGCTGGCGGCGGCTTGGCCATCTGGGGCGGAGCTGAGGGGCGAGATCTTTCCGGCACAGGGGGAGGCACTCCATCATTTACCTGAAACATTTATATGTATATAAATACCATGGAAATGCAAATGATAATCAAGTCTTCATCTGGCAGAAGAGTTTTCTGACTTTTACCCTAATCATTGTTTTGTCTCCCTTATCAAGCAGATTTGAGCCAATGGCTATCTTATCCTGTGCCCTATTCTACCACATGCTATAAAAGAGATGAGCTTACAAAAAAGTGTTTTAATAATTTCTCTTATAAACCTGTTGTCAAATTCAAAACAACCTCAGTATCATCTAATACTTTAATACTTTACATTGAAATGGCGACCATACAAAGTAAGTATTTTAAGCCAAGTATGAATGGAGAAGAGTGTATAGGATCTAACATTGTACAAGTCATACCATTGAATAATACTTGATAAATGTATCAAAACTGCATAAAGCTTGTAAGTACCTTAGCATAGTTAGAGGTTGGAAGGCAAAAGGCGCTTTGGAAACTCTTGGGATTGACATGAGCGGCCGTAGGAGATAGTAGCCCCTTGTCGTTTTCGTTTGCCATCAGAATGTCCAAGAGGGAGCTAGGGTACTCCTCCTGATAGCAGGAAGAACCCAGGGCCAGACTTGCGGCACGATACGCTCTAGCACTGCAACACATATCACCATGGATTTTCTACTAACCTCCCATCAGTTCCATCACATCCTATTATGATTCTAAGCTGGAACAGTTTTATACAATGACTTCATGTTAGGCCAAGAGGGATGCTACATTTTCACATATCTTGAGCTATTGGTGATTTCGGGATGTAAACTAGGTACCTCAGGCACTAAAACACCGAGCTTTACCACTAGACCAGCTCGCTCCTCAGGTCAACAATAAGTGCTTCCAACATTAATTCGTTGTACTTGGTACAGCAGGTGTTTTTTAATTATTACTAAGCAGTACGGTATTGGTATAGTATTATAATTATAAAATTTAATATATTTTTACATATTTTGCAAACACGATTACACAGTTCTCATAAATTAAATATCTTTCGAGAAGTACTATCAGGAAATCACTGGGCCACTCAATCCTTAAGAGTTATCAAATTAAAAGAGCTAGTCGTTAGGTATTTTGCTTCCTTTTAAATGAGTAAAACCAACTGGCAAAACATTCTAATTCATTGAGGGTTTGTCTGTTAATTTGAGTATTTTCAACATCATTAGCTTTTTTTTAAAACGGTCCAAACATTGGTTTTGTTACTACTGTATATAATTACTCACCCAATAACAAAATGCCATCTGAATTTAGAACCAAAACCGCTTGCATCACTGCAGGATATATAAAGGGTTGGGTCCGTGTCCTAAGCCAGGTATTGTTCCGAACTTTTATTCTTGCCGTTTGACTAAGTTTACACTAAAAAAGGGATTAGAGGCCCAGTAACAGTAAGTAATTTTCTTTTAATACAAATAAAACCATGTGATATTGTGGTTTATCTTAAAATCCTGTTAATGTGATACCAAATTTCATGTAAATTGGTCAACGTTCAGCTATTTTTATTTGCAATGATAAAATAAGACAACTTGAATAAAACATGACCAATTTGAATCAAATTTGGTAACAAAACTAACATGAAAATGAAGAGAAATCACGATATCACATTAGCCTATTTTAGTTGTATTTGTAATACAGTATTGAAGAAACCGTTTTGCTAATGGTCTCCCTAGTCTTCTTGAGAGTGAAGTGAGTCGAGTGGTAGGAGTAAAGGACCTCAACACCGAAGAACACTTATGGCCAGTCAGCATAGCCTGTCGGCAACTATAGCGTCTCGCACATTGACGCAGAAAGACAGATTTGATACCGCTGTTGCATATCCACAAATATTTCAGGTTTTTGAGCAATCTCTCTTGCTTTGTACTTTGTGTTATTTCTTATAAAATTTCATTTCCAAATTATATACACTACTGATGTTTTCTCTAAATTTATCTTAGCAACTCGATAATATACAATAAAAATCAATATGGGAGTGGCTTTACCTATTGTTGGTGGCCCTAATCCAGTCCGCAGCATAGTGGGGGCGGAGATAGCTGTGGCCGGGGGCGGTACTGGGGGCGGCACTGTGGCGGCGAGCGGGTCCGTGACCTTCGGACATCCGTCTAGAAACACATATCAGAAACATTTACTATAGTTCAGAAAGAAGTGACAGTGGTAAACATAGAGGTAATAATAGGGGATCACGTTTAGGTGTCTTATTTACTTGGTATTTGCAAAGAAAAGTATTATAGAGAAGGAAGCAGAAACAGGTAGCCAACTAGCTTTGAAGGCAAGATGGGAAAACAACTACAGTAGAAGGTTCATTACAAACTTGCTTTAAGACACTATATGAGGTCTGTTCTGTATTCAAGCTACAAAACATACAAGGTGATTATAGAACAATAGAATGGAATAGAGTGAGATGATCTGTGTTGTGTTAATTGTTACCTATGACCGCAACAAAATAAAAGAAGAAGCCAACACCACAACCCTAGTTCAGACATTGGGTTGAAATACCTCGCCAATACAATGTGAAACCATGAAAAGTTCCTGTAGTTCAATAAACAAAGACAATTATTAATTTCCTTAATCATAGAATCATGGCTTGGGTGGAATTTGAGTATTGTGTCCTACACAGTTACTGATTGGTCAAACTGTTACTTATATTTTATTTATCATGTGTGGGTCAAAACTAAAGTTAGTTTTTCCCCTGAAAGAGAGATAGAGATAATGGCAGAGATTATTGAACCCAGCTCTACTGTAATGGGATTGGTTTTTAAAATGAAAGTTAAAACCTTCCTATACAGAAACGTTTTTGAGTGCTCATCGGTAGTTCTATGTCTCTGTAATATATAAACCAATGAGGGTACTTTAACTGACACACAACACACAAAAATTAAGATATAGACTGATACTTGGCTTCTGTCAAGTGTAAACGGTAAAAAACTAACATAACATTACGGGCAGAGTAGCAGAGAACACAGATGATATGGCGATTCTTCACAGCTTTTTCCAATGCAAACTGCTGGTTGATTAAGCGCTTGTTCTTGATATAAATTAATTTGTTCAATGTTCATGTCACAAGGAAACACAGATCCATTTTTTCCCAGTTGGACTCATAAGGCTCCGTCCAAACTTTATGGTTCTTATTGTGTCGGGGACACTTTCATAAGTGGGGCCAAAAACAACCGAATGAAAAAAATCAAACTTAACTTAAACCTATATATATTGACATTTAAGTTTGATATATCGATTCGAAATTACAAATTTTGATTTTTTCATTGTGTTACCCAAACAAGTAAGTAAGTGTCTACCCATTATTGTCACTTAAATATATATACACAACATTGGTCTACAGCATCAATTGCTGTGTTTTAAAAATATATAATACTGAACTAATAAGTAAACAGAAACATAATTCAAAGGTTTTAACACCATCCCACTTTATAATAAGAGCATTACCGGTAGGCCTACTGTTACTTCTCTTGATGCAATATAGAAATCTATGGTAGAATCAAAAGGTTAACTCAAGGAAACAAGGAAAAGTAAACAAACTACCTAACTAAAACCAAAACGAATCTAACATCTGATGAATCTTCAATATTTTAAATGATTAAAGATTACCAATAACAAGCCATCCACAGTATACTCAAAAATTGCAAAATACAGTACAAAAGGAAAACATCAGTTGTAACTATTGAGCAAAATATTCAACTGAAGATTACTCGATATAGTGGTGAAAATAGTTCTGTTCAAACACTGATATTTTACTTAGCCCTCTCCTACAAAATCGCAACCCCGTTAGTACCGGTACTGAGGCAATTTATGGTTAGCAAACTTTGATTAAGCAGTGAAATAAATATTTTAAAATATCTATATTATTAATAAGCTACATGAAACTTTGTAAACAATAAGTCTTTTTGTTTTAAGATTTAACCCCAAATATTATATACCAAAATTATCGCCTAGGTGTGTAGATTTCCAAACTGACAACATTTTTGAAAAAGTCCCTTGGGCTCTGCCCCAGTGGCTTTCATAGTTCCCTTATGTTATCTTTATGAAGAAAATATTTGTTTACTTTATGATCAGCTTGATAATTTTATTACTGTTAATATTTTAGTTGCAATTTGCAAACTATGGAAACATAGGAAATTCATAGAACACCACCAAGTAGAAGAAATAAAAATTAATATATATTTTTTAAAATTAAATAATCATTATTATGCACAACCTAATGCGGCCATGAGTGGGAAAAATTTGTAGAAAACACTAAAAAGCAAGATCAGCTTTTGAAAAGTGATAAGATATTTACAAGAAATGTTGATTGATTATATCGAATTGTTATGTACATAAGGAGAATTTCCATAATCTTTGAGTCGGCTCTTTTAAGGTCATCGGAAATTATGCCTGTTATTCTTTTAAAAATAACGCCTGTAATACTTAGCAATTGCTCGAATTAGAGCAACAGGTACACTAGTAGGGAATATATGTGATATTTTTAAGGATGCATTTTATTGTAAATCTAATCAGGCAAATGGAAATTCGCTTAGTCTGCAGGTTTGCTGCAGCGGGGGTATTTTATGATTGTTTCTAAATAAATAGAATTAGAATTCAACACGAAAACGTTTAACTTAATGATGAACTTTTTAGCCACTCTCATGGTTAATTGGATTTGAATAGTTTTAGGGCACCATTTTTTGATGTCAGAGGCCTAAACTTTTTATGCTAAACTAAACTTTTTAGTTACGTATACCAAAGTCGACTATACTTCCTATCTGAATATTTTGAGCTACTCCCAACCCCCAGTACCTAACGGCAAAATTTGCAATATTAACCATCATTATTGTAGCATGTATAAGAAGTTTGCCACAAACCTACAGTGGTAAAAACAAGGGGGGGGGGATGCATGTTACTTTTCAGCTACCTTGTATGGATGCAAACAATGTACAGAAGAACTATAATTTCATATAGAAGATGAATAAATCAACAAACTGCAGACAAGTTGATCATTGTTGTCCGTGCTTGACCTTGAAGCAGTGATCAATCTCATTATTGAGGAGAAGAAGACTAAAGCTGAAGATGCAGAGTCAACAACTTACTGTTTGTGGCTTCTAACCTTCCTTCCCTGGTCTTGACAGAGTTTACCATCTCACACACCATGTCAAATCTTCCACACTTCATTAATGATATATATATTAATGGTATACCACATATTCGTCGATACAATGAAGATTTATTTAATCAACTGTTAACATTGATTTTAATTTATTATCTTTATAAAATAAGAGTTCTGTCTGAACATGGTTTCCTAAACACATAAGGTTTTTTTAAAGGAATTCACTACTTGTTGATGTCCCTTTTACAGTGCACAAAAGGTTTTAGCCTGCTTTAAACTGGCCTTTGTGCTTTGGGTTTTAAGTTAAGGAAGTATTTATGATAACTATTTGAAATTTTCAAATCCAGTTTAGAGCTCCACCTCCACCTGCCACTCTTCAAAATTTACCAAACAATAAGACAAAAATAATTGGAGACGGTTTTTAATAAAAATAGGATAAAATTGACCCAGAATCGAATTACACAATTTACATCTCCAAAATGAACATTAAATGCAAATTAATAGAATTATAATGAAGCTTTCAAAGGATATTGAAGTTAAACCGAAACTTTGTTAGAGACTCACAACACAAAGACGCAAGGGAAAACTTTAACAAACTTACTCTGACAAAATTGTCTTGGAGAAAGGGTAACAAAAACTGAGATTGTAAATGATTAAAAGTAAGTGGTGTAGGCTTTCAACAAAATAAATCTTTTCCAATGATTTAACTTTTGTAGGCTACTGTTTAATTTGAAATTTTATTCCACAGACAACTGTGCAGACTGTTGTAGTAAATTTAGATTTGAGGTCGAGTTACAGTGGTTACAGTTAGTGGAGGGATGATATGAGTATGTTTTCTGTTTCAAAACTTTTTCTAATGCACATTTGCAATAATGTTTCAATTTTTGGATTTGTGTTGGAATTCCCATATTCACATTTGGTGATAATGTAAGAATTAGTACAAATTTCTCAGTCCAAATTTGTCTGTACACTGAATACACTTTTATAATCGATTAATTGAAGTGGATCCTATTAAAACACTAACAAGAAGAATTGCCGTTTTTAGAAAGGCCAACTGTTATCAGATAAGAAATCATCCTTTAGTATAATTAATACCCCACCACAGCAAACCTGCAGACTAAACAAATTTGCATTTATTTGGCTGGATTTCTACTAAAATATTCCCTGAAAATTTGGCAGATTTATTTCCTATTTAAATAACATTAATTTTAATGAGTACCTAGGTTTGCTGCTAAAGGGAAGGTAATTGAGGTTTTTTTTATTGAAATGTTGATAGCTTAGTTTAGTATGAAATAAACAAAACTGCAAAATTTGATCTAAATATATCCATAAACAAGCAAACTACAACAGTTTATTTATTCTCCATAAGGATAACATGTGAATTTTAAATTTAAAGTTTTTTTTATTATATCCATAACCGTTTGTGATACAACAATGCTTCAATATACAATTTTTTTTACGCCACACTACATTATTTTGACGAACTTCCCACACAAGGATTTAGTCCAGAAAACAGCTGTTTGCCGCAAGCTTATTCAAATGGGGTTTCATTGCGTAGTACTGTACTGCAATGAGTTTTACCGGACACCAATCAGCTGATTATACTGTATTTAGGTGGCAGTGAGTGGTTATAAACAAAAACATAACCTCTCTTAGAGGTTATGACTAGTGATTTTTAGACCTTTAGTTGGTGGAAATATATAATGATTTGTACGGATTTAGTAGTATGGCATAAACTATCGTACGTAACTCGTCCAAAATGTGTGTTCCGGACTCGTATGGTAATCCCGTACTCGACTTCGTCTCGCACGGGAACGACCACACTCGTCCGGTAAACACTTATTTTCAGGACTAGTAACGTAATATACTATTTCCTACAGTCACCCGACAAAGTTGGCTTCCTTGTACTGTTTATAGTACAGAAAGCTGCTAATTGCTGCATATTTATACTTTGCCGTTCGGTTTATACTTTGCCGTACGGTTTATACTTTGCCGCACATCAGGATT